ACCCAACTAGGTGAGTCACCCAGCATCACAAGGGACTGATGTTGGGGTTCATAAATAATAGTTCGGAGAACATATGTATGGCTGACATCCTGTGGAAAATCCTCCAGCTCTTCTGAACCCTCTTCTTTCCTGCTGCCTCCCACAGAGGTTAGAAGCAGATTATCACTGTCCTCACCCCTTTTTCATGCATGGCCTTGGGATCCAGCTCTAGCTGTTGAGACATAAAAGGAAGTATATGGGACTCTGAGCAGATTTTCTTCCTTGAGGAAAAGGAAGAAGGGCTTCCACATGAGGCTCCTTTCCACTTCTCCCTGCCTTTGCACAAGGGTAGGGTGTGAATGTCTGGGCCTGCAGCAGCCATCTGTGACCATAGGCAAAAAGCTTGATGATGGATGACAACATGCACAAAGCACCGAAACATGCAACCACTTTCTATATGTGAGATGTTGGACCCAACTACCAAGAATGGAACCTTGGCTTGATCTAACTCAGAGCCTAGGCCCAAGGAGTTTAGGCTTTGCCTAGAGGTACTAGATTTATGCAAAGATACTCTGAGAACAATCTTATCATCAAATATCATAAAGACCTCACATGCAGAGACTGCAAACCTGCCAGAACACAGGAACAAATTAATTCCTGTGCTAGTTAGGGGCCAAACTCCAAGGAACAGCTGGGTTCTTTGCCTGGCTCTAGAAGCAGCAGGGGGTAAACAGAAACAAATTTGCTTATGATAACTAAAAATCTTATATCAGCACAGGACTGGAGGATTCTCAGTGTCATTCTGGCTGCTCAGCAAAAGTCCTTTTTAATGATACTGACTGAAAGATAAATGTATCTGTTTGTGTTACCAAAATAAAAATACATGAGAAAAGGACATGGATTTCGGCCAAGTGAACACCATCTGTAAGTAGTGAAGGGTGAGAATGCTTTTTTTATAAGTCAATTATTTTTAAAGTTTCCTGTGGCTGCTGTTACAAATTACCACAAATTTAGTGGCTTAAAACAATACCAAAGTATTGTTTTAAGTAAAGTAAATTTAAAATTAAACAATACTTAAAACCAATATATTGTTTTACCATTTTGGAGGTCAGAAGTTCTAAATGAGTCTTAGCAAGATATCAACAGGGCTGCATTCTTTCTGGAGGCACTAAGGGAGAATCTATTTCTTTGTCTTTTCTAGTTTCCAGAGACCATCTGCATTCCTTGGTTCATGGTCCCCTTCTTCTATCTTCAAAGCCAGCAGCGTAGCATCTTCAAATCTTTCTCTGACTTTGATATTGACTCTCCTGCCTCTGCCTTTCAGTTATAAGAACTCTGTGATTGCACTGGACAATCGACGCTACTTTCCCCATCTCAGAGTTTGCTGATTAGCACCCTTAGTTCCCTTTACAATCTTAGTTATCCCTTACCAGGTAACCTAATATATTCACAAGTTCCAGGGATTAGGATGTGTACATTTGGGGGAGACATTATATTACGTACCACACCTCTAATTTCACTAACCAGGAATAACCATAGTTAACATTTTAGTAAACAATTCTTCTCAGACCATTTTCTATGCATATGTATATAGAGATATGCCTATATACATCTCTATAGATGTATGGATTTCTAAAAATTAAGTATTAATTGAATACTGTACTTTTCTTTTTCAACTTGCTTTTTCCACTCTATACATATGTATGCGTATGTACATGTCCATTTCTACCCACTATTCTTAATAGGTACCCCATTATTACTTTACCATTAGTGTTTTTTAAGTATCTACCATGTGCTCACTTAATTTAACCCTTTGAACAGTCCTATGAACTGAGAGCTCCTATCACCATCCTTTAGAGCTGAGATACTGGCAGCATGCGCTAAGAGGCTGTCTCAGGGGATACCTCAACCAATCAGTGGTGGAACGCATTCGAACCCACCAGAACCCAAGCTCTTAACCACATGGATTGTCTCCTAGATTGTTTCACGGCATGGATGTCCTGTAGCCTAGATTGTTCCACTGCATGGATGTCCCATATATGACTTAAAAACAGTGTCCTACTGTAGATAATTTGGGCTATTTTTCAGTATTTAAAACAGAATTGCAATAAATGCGTTTATACGTATGTCCATGGACAAACATGTGACTATTTCTTTAAGAACAATTCTTGGAACAATTACTAAATGCCAAGGCTCCTTATACAAATTTTCAAATTGTCTTTCAGATAGTATGTGTATTCCCAGTGTCAATACTTTGAAGTATTACTCTTTTTAATCTTAATATTATACGGAAATGAGAGTATTATTTCTTTGAATGCTAATGAGGGTAAATGTTTTTTCAATATGTTTCTTGGAATTTTATTAAGTACTGATTCATGTTGTTTGCCTAGATTTCTATTTCAGAATTAATAAAGTTTCTTTTGAAAAATTATGGTTGAATTTTGTATAGGACATCCCATGTAAAAGGAACCATGAAACAAAGTAGAAGCTGATCATTTTCTCACAAAGTTCAGGGAAAAGAAACTATTAGAAACATGAAGGGAAATAGAGAAATATAAAAATTTAGAAAATCTATAACAAATCCAGTAAGTGGGGAGGACACCAAATGCCTTAGGATTAGTCTTCGGTCATAGATAATGGAGAGCAATGTGATCCAAATGAGGTGATGAGTCGGAAGAGTCTTCTGGTGACAGCATAAGGGTTGCCTTGAAGTAGTCCAGTCTAGATATTTCCAGAAGAGAAGGAATTTGTTATCATAAGGAGGATATAGAATTTGTTATAATAAAGGAATTTGTTATAATAAAGAGGATAAAGAAGACCTCAGTCGTCAGAGCTGCCATAACATCTGGACTGTACGCACAAGCTCCTATTTAGTGCTGAGCAGCTGGAGACTGCCAGAGTCACTAGCTCCTACTCCTGCCACTTCCAGAGGCACCAAAACTGCTCAGACCTACAGTTGACCGCAGCCTGAAACTACCACTTCTGGAGGCAGAAATCGCATGATTTCTTGGCCTTCGAATCTCCCACCAGTATCTCCCATTAGTGGAACTTATCAAGAAAACAGCTGGCAAGGACATCCAGGACATGTCATTTCCAGGCTGCTTGCTCCTGCCACACGGAGGAGGACCCAGAAGGGCAGGAACAGATTTGAATATCAGTAGACCAAATCCAGCAAAAAAGGGGGATGTTGCCCAGGATGCTGTTCAACACCAAAATATGGCTTTCCCTGGATGAAGGAGGCCTGGATTCTAGAACTAGTTGTGCTATTGATGTGCTGTGACCCCTCCAAGGCATTGTACAGTGGTTCAGGACGTAGCTCACTGCCCTCATTTGCAAAGCAGGCAATAATATCTAGCTCAAAAGATTATTTGTGAGGGTTAACTGGGGTACTGCACCCAGGCACGGTGGCTTATGCCTGTAATTCCAACACTCTGGGAGGCCAAGGCAGGTGGATCACAAGGTCAGGAGTTCGAGACCAGCTGGCCAACATGGTGAAACCCCATCTCTACTAAAAATACAAAAATTAGCCAGGCGTGGTGGCGTGTGCCTGTAATCCCAGCTACTCAGGAGGCTGAGGCAGGAGAATTGCTTGAAACCTGGAGGCAGAGGTTGCAGTGAGCTGAGATCACGCCATTGCACTTCAGCCTGGGCAATAGAGCAAGACTCCATCTCAAAAAAAAAAAAAAAAAAAAAAAAAAAGAAGTCGTGTGGGGGTTTTAAATACTGCAAAGTATTTAAAACAATGCCAGGAACAAAATAAGCATTTAACAACTGATAGCTATGGTCATCGTTACCATCATTCTAATATCAATTTTGCCATCTGTCGAGAAAAGAAGAGGAGGGTTGAATCACCTTTGCTTCTCTCTAACCCATCAGAGAAAAGGGAACTGACAGACTCAAACTGAGCCAGCCTCGTGTTAAACTGAATTTTTGAGATTCAGAGAAATGTAAATAATATCCTCCTGACCCTGTAATCACCGAGCTCACAGTTCAATGGGAGGCCAGAGAAAAATTACTATGATTCAAGGCCAAATGTGCTCAGTGATACACTAGATATAAGGAAAGTTATAAAAAGAGTACAATAGTAGGTTTTGTAGTGTAATAAAAAGATTCATACTGATTTCACTTTATTTATTTATTTATTTTTCTTGAGATGAAGTTTACTGTTGTTGCCCAGGCTGGAGTGCAATGGCCTGATCTCAGCTCACTGCAACCTCTCCCTCCCGGGTTCAAGCGATTCTCCTGCTTCAGCCTCCTCAGTAGCTGGGACTAGAGGCACCCGCCACCATGCCTGGTTAATTTTTGTATTTTTAGTAGGAACGGGGATCAGGCTGGTCTTGAATTCTTGACCACAGGTGATCCTCCTTGGCCTCCCAAAGTGCTGGGATTACAGGCAGGAGCCACAGCGCCTGGCCCAGATGTCACTTTAAATCCAATATTATTCTCTGGTGGTCTTGAGCAATTCACTTAGTCGCCCGCACCTCAGTTTACTTGTCTGTAAAACTGGAGGTATTAAAAGAGCCTGCTCACAAAGTCCTTGTGAAGACTGAGCTACTGTATATAAAGATTCTCCTGCAGTACCTGGCACAAAGATGCGCTCAAAAGTGATCATTATTATGATTCCATTGGTCCACAAAAAAGACACAGGCCTAAACTAACGAAATGGAAATGGAAAGGGGAAAAAGTCAGCTAAAGAGAGTCATTCTTCCCAGACTGCTTTCAGGCGCCCCCCAACTTTTTACACAGGGGGCCGGTTCACTGTCCCTCAGACCGTTGGAGGGCCGCCACATACTGTGCTCCTCTCACTGACCACCAACGAAAGAGGTGCCCCTTCCTGAAGTGCGGCGGGGGGCCGGATAAATGGCCTCAGGGGGCCACATGCGGCCCGCGGGCCGTAGTTTGGGGACGCCTTACTGTGGATAAAAGCAGAGAATAAGGCAGGTGCCCACTAGAAGCGTTGGCCACGAGGGGGCGCCCCCGGAACTCGACGTCCTCGTTGCCGGTGGCAACCGGCGGTCCTTGGCTCTGGCTTCCGGGGCTCTCAGCTAGAGCGGCAAAATGGCCCTGAGCTCCTGGACTCCGGGGCTGAGGGCTGGCGAGAAGCTGGTGCAGGCAGCCGCCGTCTCCACCGGCCGCTCCCTGGAGTTGTGCACCTTCCCCTCCACCCTGGGCTCCTCGGTCGCGGTCGAGGCACTGGAACAGCTGTTTGTTGTGGGTAAGACGCCCTGAGGCGCCTGAAGGGAACTCTCCTCAGAGGCGGCGCTTAGGAGGCGTTCAGCGGGAACCCTGAGCGGGGCTTTCCTCCCGGAACCCGGGCATCCCTGGCCGGGCAGAACCTTCTCCCCGCTCCTTGGAGGCAGGGGAGAGAGGTGGCGGGTGGGGTCAAGTGCCCAGCGTTCCTGCCCTAGCGCAGCTGGGGTAACTTTGCTCAACTCTCAGTAGTGGTTGGTGGCAAATCCGGGACTCCCAAGCCACTGCCCTATGCCTGCGGCCAGAGCACGCACCTGCAGTTAGGTTACGCCTTCGATTTCAGCTCTCTTCCTGCCTTTCCTTTACAAGTTAACATTCTTCCACCTATTGCCACGGCAAACTGGAGAATTAAACAGGTAAATGGGAAAGGGAGTGTTTAAGAGGCTCCCGTTGTGTCAAGCAAGGAAAATTAGATGTAAAAGGTTGCTTAGGAGATTCTAATAGAAAATGACCTTGGATGAGACCAGGTGAAAATACTTTTTCAGTTAGAAAGCTGAACCTGTCTGTAATCAAGTCACTTAAGTTTAAGGTAAGACAGTCCAAGAAAGGGTGTTTCTTGTTCAGTGCAAAAACCGTTTAGGCCAAACAGCAGAACATTTCAGTGCTTCACTAGAATCATCCCATTTCTTCAAGATAATCATATTGATTTATGTTACAATGTTACTATTAATTTGGGATAGTTTTAATTTTCCTTCTTAAATGCACTAGGTTAATTTCACAGTTCTTATCAAATATGCTTGGGTAAATATTATCATGAAGAATGTTAACCTCTTAGAAGACCTAAAGTTATTAAGACCTAAATTATTCACATGTATCTGAGGTCATTGTCAGTGATAAAGCTAGGACCTTGAACTCCCTTCATACTTGATCTCTAGATCAGCATGCCAATGCAGACCTAGTACTTATGTACAGATTCATTTTTCTGTTAATAATGTCTAGACACGCAGAACATTTTTCATAGGAAAAAAATCATTACACCTTCTTGCTCTGAGGGAATTATAAAATATTAATATGTAAACCTCCAGCACATTTGTCCTCAAGGAGCATAAAATATATACCTAAATTATAATATGGAATAGGAAGTCACAAAAGAGATTAGTGTAATGTACAATAGAAATTCAGAGATTGAAGATGTAACTTCCAGCCGAGTAAGCATTTGAGCTAGATTATAAAAGGTTAAGTAGGATTGGGATAGATAAATAAAAGATCTTTATTTTCTAATTTTTTTTTCAGAGCAATCACTGCAAAGTGACTATTTTAAATGCAATGAAGAAGCAAAGATCTTTCTTAAGGACGTTGCCGTAGCTGTTAAGAAATTGGTATTGTGTTATCTATAAGAACTATTTCTTCTATCTTCCACACATTGCTTCATCAAACTTTCATTTAGTACCAATTCTGTTTAAAGTATTAAGTAGGTGACTAGGGAATACAGTTACCCTGAACTTAAAAATATTTTTCTGTTTTGGAAGTATTTGCACAATGTTTGATCAACTGTGGATTGTTGCTTGATTTTCCAACTAGAAAACTAAAGCTTGCCCTCATCCACAGCATAAACCCATTGCTTAAAATAAACACACAATCTCTGTAATAAATTTCAAACATGGTGCCAAGTAACTCAGTTCTCTATAAGCAGTTCCTTGAATACCTGGTCAAAGATTATTTGACATCTGTTCCACTGAAGTAGACTGTACTGTTAGTGAAAACAAAGTGAAACTCAGTTACACTTATCTGGCCTCTATCAAAGACACGTTGAAGAAATACTTACAGAATTTTTCTCTGAGGTGTCACAGACATCTCTTTTTGGCCATGGATGATATTGACAGTGCTTCCTTGGCACTGTCAGAATGGTGAAGCTCTTCATTTTATTTAAAAATATTGAATAAGAATCTACTACATATTAAATAGCTAAAAATGTAGAAATATGACTGTAAATGAGTTTGAAGCCACAGACTGCTGATAAAACTCTCATCACTTTACATTTTATATAATTATACATACATATATATGTACACACACACACACACACACACACACATATATATATATATATACACACTACACAATCATACTTTATAATCCTACTTGGATAGATACATGTAAACACTTAGGGGACATGTGTGTTGTGCAGCACTGTGGTACTGTGGAAACATTTTTCCCTGCGGGGGTTCCTTCTTTCAGTTATGTCTTTCTCTAGGATCTTAAGGGGCCAAAATATTTATTGTGGCTAAAATATCTAATCTGTATTCATTTAATATCTGAGCTATGAAATCTCTTAAAAAACAGAGATCAGGCTGGGCATGGTGGTTCACACCTGTAATCCCAGCACTCTGGGAGGTGTCGACGGGTGGATTACTTGAGGTCAGGGGTTCGAGACCAGCCTGGCCAACATGGCGAAACCCTATCTCTACTAAAAATACAAAAATTAGCCTGGCATGGTGGCAGGATCCTGTAATCCTAGCAACTTGGGAGGTTGAGGCAGGAGAATTGCTTAAACCCAGGAGGCAGAGGTTGCAGTGAGCTGAGATTGCCCTACTGCACTCCAGCCTGGGTGACAGAGTGAGATTCCATCTCAAAACAACAACAACAACAACAAAAAAAAAAACCAGAGATCAATTCTTTTATTTTTAAAGTAATAAATTTTTACTGTTATAAAATTAATACGTACTGACTTTGGAAAATTTGGAAAAAAAACAGATAAGCAAAAGGACCACATTAAAGTAATCACAGTGAATACTGATGAATATACTTTCTACTTTCAGGGTATATAGGCGATGACTGCATTGAATTTCATTTTTTACAGAAAAGTGATCATGCCATATATGTAATTATATGGCCTGCTTTTTATAATTCATAAAATATAATGGCAGTTTCTCAGGTTATAAAATAGCAATAGCTATAGCTATTATGACCATTTATTTAAAAGGTGATTTATCTATTTCTTTCCACTAACTGATTTCTGAGTGGTATTTCCTTTCTTAAAGTAGCCTCACCTAAAAGTAATAATAACAGCTTTACCTATTTGTTTGGGTTTGTATGTGTGTGAGAGAAAACCATTGTTCTCTGTATATCTAAGCATATTTTTATAGGCAATTTCCATATTTTAATAAGTAGCTTTTTTTCTCAATATTACCATTTTTGTTAGAGTCTTTCCTTTTAAATGGATTGAAACTGCATATAAGAAACAGATACAGATAAGGAAAATATTTAACATAATTATAGTTTGACCCCTGAGAACATTTTTAGGGCATTGTTTAGGAAATCAGTCTTAGTGTTTTAGTGTCTTAACTTTTTTAAAATGTAATTTAAAATTTCAGGAAGAAATGAGAAAAGCCACAATCGATCTTTTGGAGATTGAAAGCATGGAACTCAACAAACTATACTATCTATTGGAAACTCTTCCCTATAGCATTAAGAGGGAATTGGAAGGTACTTTTGAGGTTATCAACTGTAGAAATTTAGTTGATCTTATAAGAAAGTAAAATTAAGTCCTTTTAACAAGATAAGTTTTATAAGTATTGCTCATGTAAAGTATAACTAGAAAGCATACATGACACAAACACAGTAAGATCCATAATAATTTTCTCTTATATTTTAAGTGGAAATAGTATATGTAGCAGTTGAATTTATATAATTGGGTTTCTAAATAGACTGTAGATAAATGGATCAGCGCATTCCAAATTGGTATTTATCCAATTAAATTAGGCAACTTGACTGGCCTAAACCATCCTTCTACTTTCTGTCTGAGTTTTGGATACTCTAGTTACCTCATATAAGTAGTATCATGTAATATTTGTCTTCATGACTGGCCTCCTTCACTTAGCATAATGTCTTCAAAGTTTATTCATACTGTTGTATGTGTCAGAACTGCCTTTCTTTTTATGGCTGAATAATAGTCCATTGTTTGTATCTATCACATCTTGCTTATTTATTTATCTGCAGATTGTCACTTGGGTTGCTCCCATCTTTTAGCTGTTGTGAATAATGCTGTTAAGAACATGGGTATTCAAGTATGGGTCGAGCATCCCTTATCCAAAACAGTTGTGACTAGAAGTGTTTCTGATTTCTGATTTTTTTTTTTTTTTGGAGTTTTGAAGCATTTCCAAAATTATGCTCAAAGGAAATGTTCTTTGGAGCATTTCAGTTTTCAGATTTTGGGATTAGGGATACTCCACCTGTATCCAAGTCCTTGCTTTCAGTTTTTGTTGTTGTTGTTGTTATTTATGCATAAGTGGAATTGCTAGATTGTATGGTAATTCTACATTCAATTTTTTTTTATTGGGGTCAGATCTTACAGAGTTATATATTCAATATTTTGAAGGTCTGCTTTGCTGTTTTCAACAGTGGCTGCACCATTTTATGTTGCCACCAACAATCCACAAGGGTTCCAGTTATCTCTACATCCTTGCCAGTGCTTGTTATTTTTCAGATGGTTTTGTTTTTGTTTTATCTGATTGCTATCCTGATGGCTGTGAAGTGGGATCTCATTGTGATTTGATTTGCATTTCCCCAATGATTAGTGATGTTGAGCTTCTTTTCGTGTGCTATTGGCCACTTGGTAAATCTTTTTTGGAGAAGTATCTATTCAGGTCCTTCACCCATCTTTTAATCAGGTTGGTTTTCTTTGTTGTTGCTGAGTTGTAGGAGTTCTTTATGTACTCTGAATGTTAACCACTGATTAGATACACTATTTGCAATATTTTTTCCCATTCCGTGGATTGCCTTTTCACTCTGTTGATAGTGACCTTTGATGCACAAAAGTTTTAGATTTTGATGCAATCTAATTTATCTCTTTTTTCTTTTGTTGCCTGTGCTTTTGGTAGCATATCCAAAACTCCATTGCCAAATTCAGCGCCATGAAGATTTTCCCTGTGTTTTCCTCTAAGAGTGTTATAGTTTAAGATCTTATGTTTGGGTCTTCAGTCTTTTTTTGGTGGGGGGGAGGGGTAAATTTTGTATTGGGGTAAGTTAAGGGTCCAACTTCATTTCTCCAGATGCCAGGAATGTTGGCTGAGGCTCACAGCTGAGTTATCCAGGGATTACCTTCAACAAAAGGGAGAAGGGGCCAGACGTGGTGGCTCACGCCTGTAATTTCAGCACTTTGGGAGGCCGAGGCGGGCAGATCACTAGGTCAGGAGTTTGAGAACAGCCTGGCCAACATAGTGAAACCCCATCTCTACTAAAAATACAAAAAAAGAAAAAAAAAAAGCTGGGCATGGTGGCACATGCCTATAGCCTAGCTACTTGGGAGGCTGAGACAGGCTAATCGCTTGAACCTGGGAGGCAGAGGTTGCAGTGAGCCAAGGTCACGCCACCGCACTCCAGCTTGGGCAACAGAGTGAGACTTCGTCTCAATAATAATAATAATAATAAACAGGGAAGCTTCACCCCAAGTTATGTTCTCTCTTCATGCCTGCCACCCACATTGATGATTGTTCACTATGAGGGTACGAAGGCCTGGCTCCCTTGCCTCAATGTAGAACAACTCTAGAGCATCATCACAGCTCCAAAGCTCATCACAATCTTATCTCCTCCTCTGCCCAGCCTTTTATTTCCTCCAAAGAGATGTTCCTCAGAGCACTACACAATCAGTGCTCTCCACACACATTTTAAAATCTGTTTGCCAGAGACCCCAACCTAAAAAGAGTGGTCTTAATAAGTAAAAAAATAAAAGTAGATTTTCCAGTTAGCCATTTAAATTTTCCCCTTTACCAGATGGCACAATGTTAAACTGTGTCAGCAGAGGGCATAGGAGAGATCTGGAGGAGGAAGTGGTTCTCTTCCTGGTTCCAGTGTGCCCAGCTTGGCTGACTCTTGCAGTGTGTGCAGCTTCTCCAGGCCGTGGTCCTGCAGCATCCAGCAGTCTACAGTGCCCAGCAGCTTCCCTGATACTCATGGGGTAGCTTCAGCCACCAATGAGACACCTCTCCGTGAAGAGCTTCTCTGGCACCCTCTTGGGTAGTTTTGCAGTGAGTTCTGTATGTCATCTTTCTGTGGGCAAGTGCCCCTAACACCCCAGAGAGCAGATTTCCAGTGAGTCCCATCAGCCCAGCATTTCAGGAACTTCTCTGCCTTCTAATGAGGCCTAGATCCCAGGTCTCGAGGTGCTGTTTCCTCGAGCACTGTATCTCAGCCCTAGGGATGGTGGCTACTCCTTATGTTTGCTATTTCTGAATGCTTTCAAGTTCTCCTCACTTCTTACCACCCATTCCCTAATCCTCTAATTACTCTAATCCTGGGTTGTAGTTAATAATTTATTCTATTAAATTTTCCCTTTTCAATTTACTGTGAGATTTCTATCTCCTAATTGGACCCTGACTGATAGAGTGAGTTTAAAACAATATGCTTGGTGTTAATCTAGTTTGACAGGGAAAATACAACAAACTATATGTGCAGAGAAAGAAAATCAGATTTAGAAGAAAATGCACCAAAGGTAGAATTAAGAGTGTTTTTTTTTCCTTTGTTTGCTGTTCCTTATTTTCTTTTTTTTTTAAGTCTTTTTTTTTTTATTGCATTTTAGGTTTTGGGGTACATGTGATGAACATGCAAGATTGTTGCATAGGTACACACATGGCAGTGTGCTTTGCTTCCTTCCGTCCGCTCACCTGTATCTGTCATTTCTCCCCATGCTATCTCTTCCCACCTCCCCACCCCCTGCCCCTCCCCCATTTCCCCCCAACGGATCCCAGTGTGTAGTGCTCCCCTCCCTGTGTCCATGTGTTCTCATTGTTCAACACCCGCCTATGAGCGAGAATATACGGTGTTTGATTTTCTGCTCTTGTGTCAGTTTGCTGAGAATAATGGTTTCCAGGTTCATCCATGTCCCTATAAAGGACGTGAACTCATCGTTTTTGATGGCTGCATAATATTCCATGGTGTATATGTACCACATTTTCCCTATCCAGTCTGTCATCGTTGGGCATTTGGGTTTGTTCCAGGTCTTTGCTATTGTAAACAGTGCTGCAATGAACATTCGTGTGCATGTGTCCTTGTAGTAGAATGATTTATAATCCTTTGGATATATACCCAGTAATGGGATTGCTGGGTCAAATGGGATTTCTATTTTTAGGTCCTTGAGGAATCGCCACACTGTCTTCCACAATGGTTGAATTAATTTACATTCCCACCAACAGTGTAAAAGTGTTCCTATTTCTCCACATCCTCTCCAGCATCTGTTGTTTCCCGATTTTTTAATGATCGCCATTCTAACTGGTGTGAGACGGTATCTCAATGTGGTTTTGATTTGCATTTCTCTGATGACCAGTGATGATGAGCATTTTTTCATATGTTTGTTGGCCTCCCGTATGTCTTCTTTTGTGAAGTATCTGTTCATATCCTTTGCCCATTTTTGAATGGGCTTGTTTGTTTTTTTCTTGTAGATCTGCTTTAGTTCTTTGTAAATTCTGGATATCAGCCCCTTGTCAGATGGGTAGACTGCAAAAATTTTTTCCCATTCTGTTGGTTGCCGATTCACTCTACTGACTGTTTCTTTTGCCGTGCAGAAGCTGTGGAGTTTGATTAGGTCCCATTTGTCTATTTTGGCTTTTGTTGCCATTGCTTTTGGCATTTTGGTCATGAAGTCCTTGCCTACACCTATGTCCTGAATGGTTTTGCCTAGATTTTCTTGTAAGGTTTTTATGGTATTAGGTCTGATGTTTAAGTCTTTAATCCATCTGGAGTTAATTTTGGTGTAAGGTGTCAGGAAGGGGTCCTGTTTCTGCTTTCTGCACATGGCTAGCCAGTTTTCCCAACACCATTTATTAAACAGGGAATCCTTTCCCCATTGCTTGTTTTTGTCAGGTTTGTCGAAGATCAGATGGTTGTGGGTATGTTGTATTTCCTCTGAGGCCTCTGTTCTGTTCCATTGGTCTATATCTCTGTTTTGGTACCAGTACCATGCTGTTTTGATTACTGTAGCCTTGTAGTATAGTTTGAAGTCCAGTAGTGTGATGCCTCCTGCTTTGTTCTTTTTGCTTAGAATTGACTTGGCTATGCGGGCTCTCTTTTGGTTCCATATGAAGTTTAAGGTGTTTTTTTCCAGTTCTGTGAAGAAGGTCATTGGTAGCTTGATGGGAATAGCGTTGAATCTGTAAATTACTTTGGGCAGTATGGCCATTTTCACGATGTTGATTCTTCCTAACCATGAACATGGAATGTTTCTCCATCTGTTTGTATCCTCTCTTATTTCGTTGAGCAATGGCTTGTAGTTCTCCTTGAAGAGGTCCTTTACGTTCCTTGTTAGTTGTATTCCTAGGTACTTTATTCTCTTTGTAGCAATTGTGAATGGCAGTTCGTTCTTGATTTGGCTCTCTTGAAGTCTATTACTGGTGTATAGGAATGCTTGTGATTTTTGCACGTTGATTTTGTATCCTGAGACTTTGCTGAAGTTGTTTATCAGTTTCAGGAGATTTTGGGCTGAGATGATGGGGTCTTCCAGATATACAATCATGTCATCTGCAAATAGAGACAATTTGATTTCCTCCTTTCCAATTTGGATACCCTTTATTTCTTTTTCTTGCCTGATTGCTCTGGCTAGAACTTCCAGTACTATATTGAATAGGAGTGGTGAGAGAGGGCATCCTTGTCTAGTGCCAGATTTCAAAGGGAATGCTTCCAGTTTTTGCCCATTCAGTATGATATTGGCTGTTGGTTTGTCGTAAATAGCTTTTATTGTTCTGAGATACGTTCCGTCAATACCGAGTTTATTGAGGGTTTTTAGCATAAAGGGTTGTTGAATTTTGTCAAAAGCCTTCTCTGCATCAATCGAGATAATCATGTGGTTTTTGTCTTTGGTTCTGTTTATGTGGTGGATTACGTTTATGGACTTGCGTATGTTGAACCAGCCTTGCATCCCCGGGATGAATCCTACTTGATCCTGGTGGATGAGCTTTTTGATATGCTGTTGCAATCGGTTTGCCAGTATTTTATTGAAGATTTTTGCATCTATGTTCATCATGGTTATTGGCCTGAAATTTTCTTTTCTTGTTGAGTCTCTGCCGGGTTTTGGTATCAGTATGATGTTTGTCTCGTAAAATGATTTGGGAAGGATTCCCTCTTTTTGGATTGTCTGGAATAGTTTCAGAAGGAATGGTATCAGCTCCTCCTTGTATGTCTGGTAGAATTCAGCTGTGAACCCATCTGGACCTGGGCTTTTTTTGGGTGGTAGGCTCTTTATTGCTGCCTCGACTTCAGACCATGTTATTGGTCTATTCAGGGTTTCGGCTTCTTCCAGGTTTAGGCTTGGGAGGTTGCAGGTGTCCAGGAATTTATCCATTTCTTCCAGGTTTACTAGTTTATGTGCATAGAGTTGTTTGTAATAATCTCTGATGATGGTTTGGATTTCTGTGGAATCTGTGGTGATATCACCTTTATCGTTTTTTATTGCATCAATTTGGTTATTCTCTCTTTTCTTTTTTATTAATCTGGTTAGTGGTCTGTCTATTTTGTTGATCTTTTCAAAAAACCAGCTCCTGGATTTATTGATTTTTTGAAGAGTTTTTTGTGTCTCTATTTCCTTCAGTTCTGCTCTGATCTTAGTTATTTCCTGTCTTCTGCTAGGTTTTGAGTTTTTTTGATCTTGCTCCTCTAGCTCTTTCAATTTTGATGATAGGGTGTCAATTTTAGATCTCTCCTTTCTTCTCATGTGGGCACTCATTGCTATTTATTTTCCTCTGGAGACTGCTTTAAATGTGTCCCAGAGATTCTGGTATGTTGTGTCTTCGTTCTCATTGGTTTCGAAGAACATCTTTATTTCTGCCTTCATTTCATTGTTTATCCAGTCAACATTCAAGAGCAAGTTGTTCAGTTTCCATGAAGCTGTGCGGTTCTGAGTTAGTTTCTGCATTCTGAGTTCTAACTCGATTGCACTGTGGTCTGAGAGACTGTTTGTTATGATTTCTGTTCTTTTGCATTTGCTGAGGAGTGATTTATTGCCAATTATGTGGTCAATTTTAGAGTAGGTGTGATGTGGTGCTGAGAAGAATGTATATTCTGTGGATTTGGGGTGGAGAGTTCTGTAAATGTCTATTAGGTTTGCTTGTTCCAGGTCTTTATTCAGGTCCTGGATATCCTTGTTGATTTTCTGTCTGGTTGATCTGTCTAATATTGACAATGGGGTGTTAAAGTCTCCCACTATTATTGTGTGGGAGTCTAAGTCTCTTTGTAAGTCATTAAGAACTTGCCTTATGTATCTGGGTGCTCCTGTATTGGGTGCGTATATATTTAGGATCGTTAGCTCTTCTTGTTGCAGTGATCCTTTTACCATTATGTAATGTCCTTCTTTGTCTCTTTTGATCTTTGTTGCTTTAAAGTCTATTTTATCAGAGATGAGAATTGCTACTCCTGCCTTTTTTTGCTCTCCATTTGCTTGGTAGATCTTCCCCCATCCCTTTATTTTGAGCCTTTGTGTATCCTTGCATGTAAGCTGTTCCTTATTTTCTAGATTGGGTTGCTTTTATAATCAGAAAAAAATATTTTAGAAGGGGGAAAATATCGTAATAGCTTATAAGGTCTTTGATACATGCTAAATGCTTAACCAAGTAATTTAACTAGTTGGCCTTATGTCATAAGTCCTTGCTATTCAAAGTGTGGCCTTTGCATCAGCAGCATAAACAACATGTAAGAACTTGTGAGAAAATACAGAATCTCTGGGCCCATCCTAAACCAACTGTATCCGAAGCTGCATTTTAACAAGATCTCCAGCTGATGTATGTGCATATTTGAGACACAAAGTTTGAGAAGACCTTCTGCAATAAGCAATTTAACTAGTAGCCTAGAAAGAAAAAATATCCTAGCTCTCTCAGGAGAGCTACCAGCTAGTTTCTAGGGAATTTGTTATGTAGAAATGAGTAGTCCAGCACCTTTCTAAACATCAGTGTTCAAAAATTCATGCATATTGACCATCTGTCATGCACTGAGATAATCCTTTGAAGTCATATGTGGTTACACTGACTTGTTATTTGTGGATGAATAATTATTCTTTAATACATGGGATTCCCCAAAAAGCAGAGCCTTAGTTAATGGCTTTTGCATTATTATTTTATTAGAGAGAATAATCCAAAGAGGAGGATGAGATAAGGAGACCAAAGCAGGGGACAAGGAAGAGATAATACGTGGTGTATTATGATGGTGGCTGCTGCTAAGTGGAGCTAATTAATTATGAGAAGAAGCCCCCAAGACCCAGTGTTATTTCTTTTCAGGACCATCTATCAGTGTGAGAGAGGGAGAAATATTTATGCACTGGCTCCTGTCTGTCATTGGTCTGATGCTTGCCCTACCTCTTATACTTCTGGGTTATACATGCATGGGTGTGGGTGCATAAAGAAGCCTCATGGTAGAAATTATAGAAGTCCTAAGCAGGAGGTGAGAAGTGTGTGGAATCACAGGCACTATCAGACTGCACCTGTCTGAACATGATCCAAGGCCACAGAAAGGTGATCCCCATAGCACCAGCAGAAATAAGAGAAATAATTAGTAGGTAAGATTGAGAGGGACCAAGGGAGTAAGAGGTGCCTGATAAAAAACATTATAAAAAGAATATTTCAAAGAAAGACTTTTTTTCAGGATTTGAAAATTCGGTGTCTGTAATTGTGCTCTTCCTTAAATAATGTAGTAACATTTCCACTTACTTTGAAGAATGTGTCAGAGATGCTCGCAGATTAAATCTTTTTGAGATAAATACAATAAAAATGAGAATTACAAGGACAGAGAAAGAAATAGAGCTTCTGAAGAAGAAAATAACTGACCTGACAAAATATAATGAAACTCTGGGGTAGGTATTCTTATATTCAGTACTTGAGGGAGAATGGGTCTGTGACTGGAATGGGAAGATTGTCAGAAGGGTTTTACTCTCTGATCTGAACTGGGCAGGGCAAGTTGAGAGGTGAAAATGGGTTGTAGGAGATGACCCAGGCTGATAGGGTAGGGAAGGTGATGGATGCAGAGGACTGAGGAGGAGAGCAGAAAATCTTCAACCACAGCAGCCGGGAGACTATAATATTTCAAAGGCAGTCCAGCTTCCCAGCAGCCAACTACTGTTTATAAATCACACACTACCTCTGATGCTACCCCCAAAGTTAGACACACAGTGGGTTTCGTTTCCATTTTCATAGAATTAAGTTTACAAACCCGTGCCACCAAAGTAAGAAATCTGGCAGGGATTATATTGTAAATCTAATATCAAACCAGACCTATTGTATCTATTTCAGTTCATTGAAGATATTTAGTCATATTTGTAATCCACTGGAGGACTGAGGATGGGGCTAGTTCCCAGGACAAGGTTCCAGATTTTATCTGTAATTAAATGGGACACTATATGAAACTGCCTGTAGCTCAGGATCTGACACCCCTTAGTGAGCCTCATTTTTTCCGTCTGTGAAATGGGGATCACAACTCTTAACTTTGGTAGCTCATGAAAGGAAGAGATATATTCTGAAAGAAAGAACCCGTTGAAGAATTACTCACCCCATGAGAAAATTTGATGAATTTTAATAAATGTCATAAGTATCAGCATGTTAGTTTCCAGGGTGACAAATGTTCACAAAGAGCCCTATCATAGGGGAAAAAGTCTTCTTGGGAAGCTAAAATAATCAGAGGGTTACCTGGTACCCCATATATCAAATCAACAGAAATCAGGTAGAGATCTCAAAGCCCAGGGACATGGATTTCAAACCAAGCTCTCAGAACACCTGTGCTGGGAGATTCTCCATGAAAGAGAAAGTTTATGATTACATAAATTTGAGAAATACCAGATACTCTAATCCCTGTTGGGGATTCACAATGCAGATTTGTGCATGGTGCACGCTAGCCATAATGGCCAGAGCCTGCTACATAAACTAGACTATCTGTTCCTAAACTAATAACAAGAAAAATAATACCCAGGCTAGATATTTATATCAACTGGTCCCAACATCACATTCCTATAGACCAATGATTCTCAAACTTGAGCTTGCATCAGAATCACCTGGAGGGCTTGTTAAAACCCAGCAGCAACTACTGTTTGCAATTAAAACAAATTACTGTTACTTGCTTCCAAAATTTCTGATTTAATAGATCTGGGAGGAGTGGCATGGGGACAAGAATTTGCATTCCTGACAAATTCTCAGGTGAAGCTGCTGCTGCTGGTCCTGACCACATTGGGGGATCCACTGCTCTAGACAAATCTTTATAGAAAGGCCATAACAAACAAGATGGTGCCAGTTGTCTTGGCATCATCAAGCTACAATCATTTGTTGCATCAATTTTTCAAGGAAAAATGCATATCAAAGTGTCCACAAGCTCTGACAGGTGGTGGATGTGTCTCCTGCCCTGGGCAATTTTCAAAAACTAGATACAGACAGAGCAGCTGTTTGAATGTGCCTTCCTGAGGCCCCACACTGCGTTTGTAAGTGTTCTTTTCTTCTCAGCCCATCACAGCACACCTAGTGAGGTTTTTTGAGTTCACTTATTTTGCTTTGTTTCCCAGAGGCTCCACAGTCCTCAGGTTGATTCATTCTTAGAAGCCTTCCTCTACTGCATCCACAAAGCCCCTGTTATTTGACCATCTACTGAGCCTCTCAACTAGGCTTCTCTTTATTCCTTTCTTTTGTGGGGTTTGACCTCTGGAAGCAAACTTCCCAACAGCCTGCTTTTACTTTCCTGAGCCTTCAAACACAGTTTTTTTAAAAGTCACTAGTCCTGAGGACTAGCCAAAGGAAAAGGGTCTTTACATTGCAGGAGCTTTTAAAAAGGAAAAATAGAGACATAACACCGATTGTCCCTTTTGTAAATCTTTTATTGTTAGCCTCAAGGTAGACATTTCTCACAATCTTAAGGTCTTCCTCAGATGGACACTGGCCAGCAATGGATGTGTGAGGTTAATGACTCCTATTGAGCTCAGCTTTGGCTCCAGCTGGGAGAAGCTAAGAGGGCCCAAATTAGGTTTCAAGCATCCTCCAAACAGTAAAGATAGACTCTTTTCTTTCCCTGATTTCTGTCCAGAGGAAGGTGAGCTTTCTGTTGGGCCCTGCCTGAAGGGCTGTAGCACCCAAGGTGGCTGGAGATGTGATGAGATGTTTCTTTTTCTTTGGCTTAACTGCATATCTCAGGATGATGAGATAGATATGATGACATTACTTATCAAGACACTCATCTGGCCAGATCCCATTTACCTGTTCAAAACTATTTTTGAGTCATTGCATATTTTAACCCCCAAAATTCTGTGGTTACCACCTGGCATGTAGGGACTGGTGAGGTAAGGCAGGGCCACATGACATTCTAAAGTGGTAAGTTGCATGGTTGATGCTTGTTTCCTGCTGTCCTCATCTCTAACTTTTTTTTTTTTTTTTAATTTGAGACAGAGTCTCATTCTGTCAACCAGGCTGGAGTTCAGTGGCATGATCTTGACTCACTGCAACGTCTGCCTTCTGGGTTCAAGTGATTCTCCTGCCTCAGCCCCCTGAGTAGCTGAGATTACAGATGCACACCACCATGCCTGTCAAATTTTTGTATTTTTAGTAGAGATAAGGTTTCAGCATGTTGGCCAGGCTGGTCTCAAACTCCTGACCTCTCAGGTGATCTGCCTGCCTTGGCCTCCCAAAATGCTGTGATTACAGGCATGAGCCACTGCGCTTGGCCTTCAGCCAAGCTTAGAAAATCATAAACACAGTCATAAAATAAGTATTCTTGACAGTTTTCCTCTGCTGAGGATTCATCTCACCACAGAGACTTTATTCCTTTCTTAGGAGCTGTGCTTCTCACTCTGTGAGCAATTCTTTCCTCCCAGGGAGAAACAGGAAGAGCTAGCAAGGAAGCATGCGAGATTTATTCTGTCACTCAACCAAACTATGGAGAAAAAAGCCACCACCACTGTTTACATAAATGAGACTTATACTGAAATAAACTTGAAGAGAGAAGACATAGCGTTGCAAAAAAAAATTATTAAAGAGGCAGAAGAGCTAATGGAAAAAGAAAGGGCAGAATATCTAATAAGAAAACAAGAGTTGGCTGCACAAGTAAGTGACATGACTTATTCTTTAAAATACAGAATCTGGGGCAGGAAATGGGAAATAATTTATTTGTCCTCAAGGCTAGCAAGCAGCCTCTGTGGTATCTTCTGTGAACACTGGGAAAATGGGATAAGTGGGAAACTCAAGGATACTTCCCCTCTGGGGGAAGATATTGATGGGTGGCGCATCTCAGTTCATGGGATGAATATAAGTGACAGGATTTGTAACACTGGGGTGTCCCCTTGCTTATACGCAGCCATAGGGACAAGGAATAGGCTACCATCTTATCCAGTTGCCTTTGGTAATCCTGAGACTGTCTGTATGGACAGGACCAGGGTGTTCAGACATTTATCAGCCCTGTTGCTCCTGATAAATGAATCAGAGAGAGCAGTGGCCTGCAGAGGGGCTGGGCAGAACTGAGGGCCGTAAAGAGAAAACAATGTTTTGAGACCAGCAATTTTGTGAGGGTGGGGCAGGAATAGCTACTGCATCTTTTTCTGCCACTGCAGGGGCTGAACTCCCTGCTATGCCATGTTAATTAAAATTCAGCATCAGACCGGTTATGTTTGTTTCTTCCTTGTCCTGCTCTGGTTGACTCAGGAGAGGTGGGCTGTCTGCATGTTAGGTGTTCCCAGCAACAGTCTTCATTCTCCTTCTGCACTAGAGAAGCCCAGCTAATGATGCTGCCCTATCCATGATGGGAATTGGCATAACCTCAGGTTATAAATGTAGGAAACTGGACTTGGACTTGCAATACTGACTGCTATGTTAGAAAGAGGACAGAAGGAAGGAAGGGAGGGAGGAAGGAAGGAAGGAAGGAAGGAAGGAAAGGAGAAGGGAGGGAAGGGGGATGGGGAGGGGGAGGAGGAGGGAGGGAATATTTATTAAATTGCTTTTCTTGAGTCTTAATCAAAATTTAAAGCATTAAAATCTGGCAGTAACTGATTCTTATGGCAATTGATTCCATGATAAGATTTGGGCTATTTGAAAATTCCAATCAAGTCTGGGCTTCTTTATCCTTAAAAGTTCCTACCTCTTCAAAAATCATTTTACACTGAAGCTATGTACTATTCTTCCTGAGTACAGAGAGCTTCACCCTAATCATCCTTGTAAGAGGGACATTGTAAAGTAGCTGGCAAGGAGTCTAACTCAGTCCATTTGAACTGCTATAACAAAATAACTGAAACTGGATAGTTTGTAAATAACAGAAATTTCTCACAGCTCAGGAGATCCCAGATCAAGGTGCCAGCAGGTTCAATGTCTGATGAGAGGCCAGTCTCTCCTCCTAATATAATGCCTTAAGCAATGCCTCCTCCAGAGGGAACAAACACTGTGTCTTCACATGGAAGAAGGCAAAAAAAAAAAAAAAAAAAAAAAAGAAAGAAAGAAAGAAAGACCTAGCTAAATGCCTTCCCATCCTTTTATAAGGTTACTAATCCCATTCATGAAGGTTCTGCCCTCATAACTTAATTGCCTCCTAAAAGCCCTGCCTCTTAATACTATCACATTGGCAGTTAAGTTTTAACATGGATTTAGGGGTACACATTCACATCAGAGCAGATTTCTTTGGGCAGTCTGCAGCTTCTAAACATAAATTATAAAAGCCAAGCTCCTTGATCCTTTCTTGAGATTGAAACCATCTGTTAGCTTGGGCTGCAGTACTTGAATCAACTGAAATCTGTATCTCAAAAATAGGATAGGGTTCCTCTCACTGACCTAGACCTTACTTGGATTTATTGTTACCACAATGAAAAGGAAGTTTCAGGACAACAAGGATCAAAAGGGATTTACTTTTTCGTTTCCTGTTGACAATGATGAGGAACACTGAAAGCGGGATTCTGTTCTCTCTGATCAGTCCAGAACCCATACCTGGTATGGCTCACTTAAGTTATGGGGCAAAGAGTGGGGTGTGTCTGTGTGGGCATAACTGGGTAAGGACTTCCAGGGTGGTGGAGGAGTGGAGACCTGGGGAACCCTGTCACTTTTCTTTGCTTCTCCTGGGACCAAAACATTCAGTCAAGGATGGGATCCAATCTGCATTTTGCAAGGCATGCAGTCTCTGTTACAGCTACTCAACTCTGCCATTTGAGCACAAAAGTAGCCACAAATAGAACCTACATGAATGAGAATTGCTTTTCATAAACAGGTGGTACTGGATTTTGGCCCATGGGTTGTTTGCCTACTCCTGCTCCATCTCCCAGGGAAAGGGTACCAGTTAGGATGCTTTCAGATGAAAAATGCAGAAACCCTGACTCATACTGGCTTAAACAGTAAGGGCCCTTATTATCTCACAGTTTAAGAATTCCTGAGGTGGGGCAGCCTTTAGTTAAGGCAGTGGGTCCTCTCTTCTTTCCTTCACCCTTCATCCTAAGGCTGGTTTCCCTCATGGTCACAACATGGCTGCCAGTGACAATTGGACCCTATGACCTGGCCAGGTTAAAATAGTGCCCATCAGCCTGGTGCAGTGACTCACAACTGTGATCCCAGCACTTTGGGAGACCAAGGCCAGTGGATCACCTGAGATCAGGAGTTCAAGACTAGCCTGGCCAACATGATGAAACCCCATCTCTACTAAAAATACAAAAATTACCCATGTGGTGGCAGGCACCTATAATCCCAGCTACTCGGGAGGCTAAGGCAGGAGAATTGCTGGAACCCCAGAGGCAGAGGTTGCAGTGAGCCGAGATGATACCATTGCATTCCAGCTTGGGTGACAACAGAGAGACTCCAGCTGAAAAAAAAAAAAAAAAAAAAAAAAAAAAAAAAGAGTGCCCATCCCTGGAACAACAATGCGTTGTAAGGGAATGTCATGTCCAGTGGGTTAGAACAGCTGAGGTGGATGGATATTAAAGAATCGACCACCAGTGTTTACTAAGGACACATCATAGGCCGTGGTCACAGCCTATTCTTTTCCTTCCTATGAGAAAGGAAAAACTATTACAGGTGTCGGAGAATCTTCAACCTATAATGTTCCCCACAACACCAAACAAAGTAGTAGTTGCCAATATTATTTCTATGATTGCAAGACCTTGGGAGAAGCTTCAGCCAAAGTATGAATGCAAATTTTTCAATTTCCTTTCTTTCAGGCATATACCACCATGATGGGATAATTTTTTAATTTTTTGTGGAGACTGGGTCTCGTTATGTTGCCCAGGCTAGTCTTGAACTCATGGCTTCAAGATGTGTTCCTACCTCAGCCTCCTAATATGCTGGGATTAGAGGCATGAACCACCTCTGAGCCAGATTTTCAATTTTCAGCAACATGTATTAATCATGAAGTTTCATTCATATGCATCTGTGCCCTGGCACAGTGATAATTGGTAATGATCATATTTATTCAGAGTAGCCACTTTGGGTGAAGCAGCTGGTGGCTTTAATGAGAAGTCACCCAGGCATATGTTTTCACAGCTCTTTAATACGAGTTGAATGTGCTTTCCCAGGCCTTTCTACTTAATTAGTTACCTTGTTCTTGGTAATCCATTTTACAGACAAATCCATGATATGTTTGATTTTGATAAGAGGGTGACATAGTTCATTAGGGTCTAACAAGTGGTATTGTGATAAAATGGTAAGAAGTTTTTCAGGATTACAAGCTGCTCTGTCTTTAATGATTTTGTTTGCTCTGTGTTTAGCTGGTTTTATTTCCCATGAAATAATGTTAATTTAGGTTCCTAGATAATTTCTTCATTCCTTTTACTTTTCTTGTCTGCTTAGTACACTGTAAATCTGGTCACTACTGCTGTGGTGATTTACTAGTAAATCACTACCGTGGCAATTGCTTTTATAATTAGTTATTAATAATCATTGTTATTATTGCTCTTAAAAATTTACTACTTCAATATTCAGTAATTACAGTTTGGCCCTTTTGGTTCATGATTTTTCCTGTGATACTGCTAGATAAGCAAACCCTAGTTTTTTCATTTTTCTATTTATTGGTATACTTGGATTGAATATGTTATACTTAGATTAAATAAATTAGGTTGACATATTTTTAAAGGATTTTCTAAACTTTTAATTGGTTTATTATGCTTGTCACTATAGATTAATGAATTTAGTAATATCTGTGAAATAAAGAAACTTGAGACTTACAAAAAGAAGAAAGAATTGGATAAATTACAAACTAAAGTATCAAAAATAAAAGAAACAGTTACTACTTCTGCAGTGGTAAGAAAGAATGAACTATATATGTATTTTAAGCCTTATTTAGGCACCTCAGTAAAAAAGAAGTTGATTTTAATTCATCTTCATGCCATGCTGAGAGGATGTTTTCTGCACATCAACATTTTCTGACACTTCCTTTATAGTGTTATGGTGCGATTGTGGTTTCCTCCTCAGGAATATAATGGGAAGAAGGAAATTAGGAGTGCCTTAAGTACCAGAGAATTTGATGGGCCAAAATACTATGAAAATATTGATTAAAAAAAAACATACAGAACTAACCAAATATACTGAGATATATATATATATATATATATATATATAATGTTTCCATGAGATTGCTTCATTTTGTGTAACAAAATGAATAACCATGGGCTGAGTCCTTAGTTCTGAATGTGGAATAATAGAACAGAGTTTAGGCTCTCTGCTAATATTGGGTACAGCAACATTAATATGTAAAGGAGAACATGTGTCTGTTGAACTAGAAAATAAATACGTCAGAACTCTGTACTTCTGTTAAAAGACTGTGATAACATTTGCTGAAAGGCAGCACTGTGATAAGTATTTTGTGAGGATTATCTTTATTTTAGAGATGAGAAAATATAAGCCGATAGAGATCACTATAATTGAAGTGGTTAACGTAAATACCACTTGTATGTTAATTAAAACAAAAATGCCTGTTAACCTCTTATCACAATTAAATTAATGAATCTTTAGTATTTTTTTTCTATATGTCTTGAAAAATCACATGTAAAACTATACTGGTACAACAGTAAAACTGAATATTTTATATGGAGTGGTTCTGCTCGCCTTAATTACAATATATCTATTATGATATCCAATTACAAAACATTAGTAAAATGAACATTTTCTCTCAAATATGTGCATTAAAAAAATCATTATCTGTTTTTAAATTTCAACATAGTAAGGAAGCACTAGGCCTACAGGAAAATATAGAGGCTATATATAACATATTTTATCTGCATGCCCAAGCTCATGTTTCCGGTTTTGCCCTCATAAATCGTAAATCAAGCCCACCAACAACTAGCTTGGGAAAATGAAGTATGTGTTCCTTAGCTTGTACTCTGAAGGTCTCTAAAGCCAAATTAGGCTTGAAGGTGGCAGCAGTAAATTCGCCTCTGGGTCCTTCCCCACTCTCCACAAGCCAGCCTGTCCACCCTCCTACCCTTCCATCAGTAGAGAATAGTTTATTAAGCACAAACTTAAGTATCACATAGAACTGGGTTCAAATCTTAGTTCTACAAACCTGAAGTTTCCTCATCTATAAAATGTAAGTATTAATATTGCCGACTGCAGAGCGTTTTTGTGGAGATTAAATGAGGTCATGCCTATTAAGTGCTTTATATTTGGGAGTTCATTGTCGTCGTTGGCTGAGGTTAGCAAACGGTATTTTGGCTATAGACTGAGACCACAAAGAATTTCAGATTTACTCTCACATGGGACGTGTGGTTCAAAATTCTCTGCAGCCAGGTTATGTTGATAGGATGTTGGCAGAAAAAAATAATAGCATGTAACCCGTAAGGCAGCCTACCTGTCTAGGCAAGGAGGACTAAGGATTAAAGATAACAGATGTCAGACCGATTAGGCCTTCAGCATGTAACCCTAAATCTGACGACTGATCAGAGGCCTCTCAATATTCTGCTCATTTTGATGGTAGTTCTACGACTCCTGTTAGCTCTGGAACTAGCTATTGGTGCACAAGAGAAAGAAACCGTTTTGAGTAGATTTACCCACGTCTCTTACCTGGCATGACTGAAAGCACCTCAGTTCTCCCCACAGGTGTATCTCTGATACCATGTTGCTGTCCAGGGTTAGATGGCGTTAAATATTATGTCCATTGTAATTCTGTGTTGGAGAGAAGAGGAATTTGTTTCATCAGCCTTGTCTAAGCTCCATTGTCCCTCACAAGCTGAAATGCAAACCCAAGGCTGAATAAGTTTGACTTTCTTCTTCTTGATCCCAAAATTGCACTGCAAAAATATCTGTTTAATTATAAATTTTCTCCATAAATTATTCCCTTTTAAATCATAACTTTTTTAATAGTATCCAATTATTCCATTTCCTAAATTTAGATTAACTGTTAAGAAATAAAAATTATTTTCAGCATGAACATAGCTATCAAGGGAAACAAAAGACCCAATTTGTTCTGACTTTTTAAAATAATACTCATTTTGATCGCCTGGGATTGATAAATGAAGATGATTGTGACAATATGGATTTGTTTAATTTTTTCAAGTGGTAGAGAAAGTTAATTCTTGTCTCAAAAATTTTTTAAAGTAGTCACATTCTCACTGGTGTATTTAGCCATTTTCCCCTGTAAATTTTGGGTTTTTCTGATGATTTCAGAATTATGTATATCCAAGTTTATTTTATAGAGAAACAATTATAATGATTGCTTTTTTTTCCTGGTAGTACACCCCCATTGTAAAAGTTGAATGAGTAATTCATGAATATTGAGTGGAACTGAACTGCTGTTATGAATCACTTGGTGATGATTAGATAATATATTTTGTTTAATTTTTAATAGGTTCTTAGTGATCACAATTTAGAGATAGCACAACTACATGAATCGATAAGGTATTGGGAACAACAGGTCAGTGAGCTAAGGAAAGCCCTTGCGATTCTGGAGACTAAACTGTGAGTGTAATGCTTTATTTTTACTGAAGTGTTTCAAGATACGTTAATATGATATTATAATATAGTTATGCTATGTTTTCACTTTTAAAAACATGTTTTTAATTTGACCTGAAAATTATATTCTCTTAGTTTACTAAAATATATGTGATAGCGTTGTAGAATCACCTTTTTTTGTGAAATTAGTCCTTCAGATGATCAAGAGAAAAAATTAAAGATGCTGTCATATTGGGGAAAGGAAGGGACTCTTTGGAATGTATGTATTATTTTCATTTCAGTTCCTGACTCACTACAAACAAAAATACTCATGGGGGAAGGCATTAGTGGGACGTAGCATAGGCTACAACCCATCTAGCCATCCTATTAGAGTTGTTCTTATTCAAGGGAGACTTGCCAAACTTCCTGAGAAAATACAGGGAAGTCCATGGCAAAAACTGCTGCACATGGAACTAGAACCAGAAACTGAAGGAGGCATTCCATCCATCCAAAGCCTCAGTCTGTGCTTCATTTTGTGAAAGTGTTTCATTCATCTCTTTATCTACACATGGTATTCTCTTCTTGGTGAGCACATGGCAGCTTCTGACTATGCCAAATCCTCTGAATTGACCTTGCACAGGTCCAACTATCTTTAAAGATTGATCAACACACTCTCTCCCCAGAAAATTCCCAGATTTCACATCACAATGTGTTTGGCTCAGCTTTGGTTCTTAATCCAATCAGCTCTGCACAAGAAAATGGAGTCTTAATTATAACATGGCTCTGGGGACTACTCCAATGGTTCACTGACAGTTTAAGAAACAAAATGTGGACTGAGTAGATTCCAAAAAGACAAGTAACCTCACATGTAGAATCCTGTTATAACATAGGTCATTTCTATGTACATTTGAATATATTGTGATTATAATAGGTCTTTCAAAACAGCAATGCTGATTTACCATCATCAGTTCATAAAAGGGCAATAATCTTTATCTTTAGTATCAGATTAAAAAATAAGAAAGCTCAATTAATATCACAACTACAACTCAAAGAAACTCTTATTTTGTGATTCAATAGTATTAGTTTACATATATTTTGAAGAAAAAGTAGGCAAGAAATCATAGTGGAAGATGTGGATTAGTTCAAATTATTTCTAGCTGTTATGAATAAAAACCTCATTACATTGATGAAATTTTATTTATAAGCCGTGTTCATGTTAGCTAACATGTATAAGGATTCATTGATCTTCCATTTGTAGTGATTTATCATTATTTATAATCCCAGCTTTTTAAGAGTTTGGGTTCATGTAGAATCTCAAAGAAAAGTGCTTTATGTTAATTGGCATAAAGTGGTGATCAAGGACATAAGTTATTCTTTTTATTTAAAAAAACTTTACTTTTTTTCTTTATTACCTGGAAAATTAAAAGAAAGTTCTTTGTATTCTTCCTATTTTCCTCCTTAGCTGATTCCTCTATCAGTGAAGATAGGGAGAGGCAATCTAGGTTCCTGCTAGGTGGATTTGAAGAATCAGTGCTGTTTTGTAAGATTTCTATCAGAAATTATACAAGAAACTAAAATAATTTGCAAAACACATTTTTCTATCAATCTATAACCCTTTATTTTACTTCATGAATTTTTTTTTTTTTTTTTTTTTTGAGGGGGAGTCTCGCTCTGTTGCCAGGCTGGAGTGCAGTGGTCTATTCTCTGTCGCTGCAACCTCCAACTCCCTGGTTCAAGCGATTCTCCTGCCTCAGCCTCCCGAGTAGCTGGGATTACAGGCACGCACCAGCATGCCCAGCTAATTTTTGTATTTTTAGTAGATACAGGGTTTTACCATGTTGGCCAGGATGGTCTTGATCTCCTGACCTCATGATCCACCTACCGTGGCCTCTCAGTGCTGGGATTACAGGCATGAGCCACCACGCCCAGCCTTCCTTCATGAAATCTTTAACTTGCAAGCTGGTTAATAGCATTGTTACTTATTTTTAATTCAAAATATTGAGGAAAACAAAATCACTCAACCACAGGTTTAAATTCCTTGTGTGGGCTGGGTAGGGTGGGTTACACCTGTAATCCCAGCCCTTTGGGAGTCCGAGGCTGGTGGATCACAAGGTCAGATATTTGAGACCAGCCTGGCCAATATGGTGATACCCTGGTCTACTAAAAATACAAAAATTAGTCTGGCTTGGTGGTGGGCACCTGTAGTCTCAGCTGCTCAGGAGGCTAAGGCAGGAGAATCGCTTGAACCTGGGAGCTGGGAGACGGAGGTGACAGTGAGTCGATATCATGCCACTACACTCCAGCCTGGGTGACAGAGCAAGACTCCAACTCAACAAAAAAAAAAAAAAAAAAAAAAAAAAAAAAAATTCCATGTGTGTTTGGACAACTGAGAGTAACTCTAATGCTCCATAAATCTACAGGAGGCATCTGGGCGTGGTGGCTCACGCCTGTAATCCAAGCACTTTGGAGGCCAAGGTGGGCAGATCACCTGAGGTCAGGAGTTCAAGACCAGCCTGACCAACATGGTGAAAAAAAAAAAAAATCGCCGGGCGTGGTGGCTCACGCATGTAATCCCAGCACTTTGGGAGGCCAAGGCGGGTGGATCACGAGGTCAAGAGATCGAGACCATCCTGGTCAACATGGTGAAACCCCATCTCTACTAAAAATACAAAAAATTAGGTGGGCATGGTGGTGCATGCCTGTAATCCCAGCTACTCAGGAGGCTGAAGCAGGAGAATTGCCTGAACCCAGGAGGTGGAGGTTGCGGTGAGCCGAGATCGTGCCATTGCACTCCAGCCTGGGTAACAAGAGCGAAACTCTGTCTCAAAAAAAAAAAAAAAAAAAATCTGCAGGAGGCAGGAGGCATTGTCATTTGATCCTTGTTCTTTCTTGTCATTGATATCCAGTGTGATTACACAGATGAAGACAAATCCAATGCCTACCTTTTAAAATCACTATTGTGTTTATTTGCTCTTCAGCTGGCTTTCAGCACATGAGAAATGTGAAAGTTAAATGTTGTATATATAAATGACATTCAATTTGTAGCCTAGAGTATATACTTGCCATTAAAGCGTATGAAGCTATGAAGACTATAGATGCTTTTTTAAGCTAACATGGTTTCAGAATTGCCACAGTTACCAATGACTTCCATCCTGTTAAACATTAGTGGTCTAGTCAACTCCTGAAAGTTCTCAAATTCATGATAGGATTTGACAGTTTATCACTTCCACCTCCTTGAAGTACTTTCTTCATTTGGCTTCCTAAATATCATATTCTCTTATTTTACTCACCACACTGGTTGCTGCTTTTCAGGACCATTTACTTGTTCTAATTCTTTTTTCTGATTCTGAATTTCAAGTTCTTGGCCAGGCACGCTGGCTCACGCCTGTAATCCCAGCACTTTGGGAGACCAAGGTGGGCTGATCCCGATGTCAGGAGTTCGGGACCAGCCTGGCCAACATGGTGAAACCCATTCTCTACTGAAAATACAAAAATTATCTGGGCATGGTGGTGTGTGGCTGTAATCCCAGCTACTTGGGAGGCTGAGGCAGGAGAATAGCTTGAACTGGGGAGGCAGAGGTTGTGGTGAACCAAGATTATGCTACTGCAGTCCAGCCTGGGTGACACAGTGAGACTCCATCTCAAAAAAGAAAAATGTCAAGTTCTCAGTCCTTCACTATTCTCTTCTCATACCCTCCCTGTGTGATTTTATTCAGTCTCATGGCTTTAAATACTTTCTTTGCTTCAATGACTTGAGCTCTAAATGCAGATACTATATACCTTATTTGACCTTACCACTTGGAGGATGTCTATGATATATCTCAAACATAACATGTCCTGAACAGAACTGTTGATTTCTCACCTTCCTGAAACAGCTTTTCCCACAGTCGTCCGTTGATTATCAGTTAATATGGCACTACTATTTACCTAGTTACTCCAGCCATAAGCCCAGGGGTCATCTACCATTTCTGCTTTACTCACTACCCAACCCTGACTCAACTCTTGCTGCAGCCAAATTCAAAGTCACATCCTATTGCCTTCATCTTCAAAATACGTGCTGACTACATCTATTTCTTACCAGTGCCACCACTGTCCCCTTAGCCTGAACAGCCGTGATCTCTTCTGGACCAGCACCAGAGCCTTCTACATGATCTTCCTCCACAGTTGTCTTTCTCCACAGAGTAACCAGAGTCATCTTTACAAGGCATCCATAGGTTCATGTTTCTCTTCTGCTTAAATAATCCACCCCTGTTCCTTTCAGAATAAAATCTGAACTTCTAGCCTGGCCTTACACCCTGCATGATCTAGTTTCAGTCTTTGTCTCCAGCCTCCTCATCCTTCTTCCTCAAATACACCAAGCTTTTTCCTACTCTGTCTTGTTACCTGATGTTTCTTCTGCCTGAAAAGCTCTTCCTTCAGATTTTCATGTTGCTGACTCCCCTTAACATTCAGGTCTTTTCACAGGTCATCTCAAAGAGGTCTTCCCTGACCACCTGTCTAGACCAGCATTCTTGCTCTAAGGATCCTTTTGTGGTTTATCCTGCTTTGTGTTCTATGGAGCACTTAATAGTATCTGAGATACATTACTTGTTTTTTGATAACTTGCTTATCTCCTGACCCCTCCATGGAATGTAGTTTTCATGAGGGTAGGGACCTTGCATATGCTGTCTCCTTAGTACCTGAAACATATCTGGCAGCATATGTGTTCAATAATTACTTCTTTTTTTTTGAGATGGTGTCTTGCTCTGCTGCCAGGCTGGAGTGCAGTGGTGTGATCTCTGCTCGTAGCAGCCTCCACCCCCAGGTTCAAGCAATTCTCCTGCCTCAGCCACCTGAGTAGCTGGGACTACAGGTGTGCGCCACCATGCCCGGCTAATTTCTGTATTTTTAATAGAGACGGGTTTCACCATGTTGGCCAGATGGTCTCAATCTCTTGATCTCATGATCCATCTGCCTCAGCTTCCCAAAGTGCTGGGATTAACAGGCATGAGCCACTGCATCTGACCAATAATTGCTTCTTAAGTAAAAGAATAAATAATATACTAATTCATCAATTCAAAGGAGTACATATTTTTGCTTATTTTGGTAAATATATACATACATATGTGGGGAGATGGGGACTGGAACTTTTTTATTTCATAAGTAAATACGACTTTTCTGGAAAGTATGTTCTTATATGAATCTGTTTGGCTTCCTTTGTTCATAGGGGTTTTTTCACAGATAACAGGGAAAAACTGGATGGTATATCTAATTATGAAAAAACTGAATTCCTGAGCAAGATAAAAGAGGTAAGAAAGCAGAAATGATTACTTTTAGGTTATATTTCATTTTTAGTTAACATTTAAAATATGTGAGAAATACAGATTTTTTTCAAAAGGATATTTTTCATTGACCAATATTATGGTTATTTGTAGTAATTAATTTAAAATTTTTATCTCCTCCCGAAGTACTTTAAATATGTGAAAGAGCAAAGGTTGTCCATGTACAGAGGAATTGTTTTTTGGTAACTTTTCATGTGAGTATGGGTACATTAGGAATATCCATGATTAATAGATTAATGGATATTTTTCATGTGAATTATTAGAAAGTTACAATCATCTTGCTGTTGTGTTGCACCTGTGAAGTGCAGCAACCTGTTCTACATTTAAGAATATTCTAAATATTATATATCATATTGTGATGGTTAATACTGACTGTCAACTTGACTGGGTTGAAAGATGCAAAGTATTGATCTTCGGTGTGTCTGTGAGGGTGTTGCCAAAGGAGATTAACATTTGAGTCAGTGGGCTGGGAAAAGCAAACCCACCCTTAATCTGGGTGGGCACAATCTAATCAGTTGCCATTGTGGCCAGGATATAAAGCAGGCAGAAAAACGTGAAAAGACTAGACTGGCTTAGCCACCCAGCCTACATCTTTCTCCTGTGCTGTATGCTTCCTGCCCTCGAACATCAGATTCCAGGTTCTTCAGCTTTGGAACTTGGACTAGCTTCCTTGCTCCTCAGCTTGCAGATGGCCTATTATGGGACCTTATGATTGTGTGAGTTAATATTCCTTAATAAACTCCCCTTTATATATACATTTATCCTATTAATTCTGTCCCTCTGGAGAACACTAACTAATACATGTAATATTCTAAATACATAGATAGAAATATTTGAGTCAGATTTAGCCCCAAGAAGAATTCACTAGACATTTTTCAAACTTAAGTTAAAAAAAAAATCTGTCATATTATATGTAAAAAATCATGTGGGCAAACCAAGATTTAGCCTCAAAATATTCAATGAAGCATTCATTAGGATAGTAAGAAATTGGGGATGAGGGTGAAAAATACAATTAAAATTCAGCAAAAAGGCCTTGGTTAAGTCAGTATCAGTATTGCTCATAATATGTTACTGAGTCTGGGTATTGTGGCTCTTGCCTGTAATCCCAGAACTTTGGGAGTCTGAGGTGGGTGGATTACCTGAGATCAGGAGTTCAAGACCAGCCTGACCAATATGGTGAAACCCTGTCTCTACTAAAAATACAAAAATTAGCTAGATGTGGTGGCTGGCACCTGTAGTTCCAGCTACTGGGGAGGTTGAGACAGGAGAATTGCTTGAACCCTGGAGGCAGAGGTTGTGGTGAGCTGATATCACACCACTGTATCCAGCCTGGATGACAGAGCAAGACACCCTCTAAAAAAGAAAAAGAAACAACAGTATGTATGATATGATTCAATTTAATTATTTATATACACAAATACACATACACACTAGACATAACTGAAATTCTTCTTGTCCCTTGTAATGAAGGAGAAATGTCCTTAGTATCTCTTTCCCTAACCTCATGTATTCTTTTCTTTTTGTTGAGACACAGTCTCGCTCTGTTGCCCAGGCTGGAGTGCAATGGCATGATCTCAGCTCACTGCAACCTCTGCCTCCTGTGTTCAAGCAATTCTCTTGGCTCAGCCTCCCAATGACTGGGATTACAGGAATGTGCCACCACACCCGGATAATTTTTGTATTTTTAATAGAGACAGGGTAATGACATGTTGGACAGGGTGGTCTCAAAATTCTGACCTGAAATGATCCACCCACCATCTCACTCTGATGCCCAAGCTGGAGTGCAGTGGCACAGTCACAGCTTACTACAGCCTTGACCTCTTAGGTCTAGGCGATCCTCCCGATGCAGCTTCCTGAATAGCTGAGGCCACAGGTACTCACCACCACACCCCGCTAATTTTTAAATTATTTGCAGAGGCAAAGTCGCTCTATGTTTCCCTGGCTGGTCTTGAACTCCTCAGCTCAAGCAATCCTCCTGCCTTGGTCTCCCCAAATGCTGAGGATTATAGGTGTGAGTCGCCACACCCTGCCACACATACTTAATTTTAATCATTCAGGACTTGGGTCAGGTACTCTCTGTCTACATCCTCTTTGTTTTACCCAAGTCAACCAGGATATAAAATTCGTTATCTTTCACTAGTTTCTAAACAAATATAATTATACTAAGCATTTCATGAATCTATTGCAAACTGTTGGAAGTTTTAGTGGTTATGGGGAGAAATCCTGTTGCAGGATCTTCTCGCATTTTTGTGAGAAAGGTGGCTTTCTCGCAAAGCCATCTTGTTCACCACCTTTTCTTTCCCTCACAGTTCCTCATCTATCTTCTTGCTGTAGGATACCACTCCACATCCAAATTCTTCTCCCTCTTTTACAAAGCATAGTATCTGCCTCTGCACCCATGCCCTGAGGCTCATCAGGGATATCAAAGGCAGCTCCCTCCCAGACGAATGATTTGTACTAATTAACTGCTTTCCACTTTTGCTTTTATGAGCTATCAGCATTAGAGATGGCCTCCCCTCTGGGCTACTCTGATTCTTTTAGTGCAAGGATCCCTAGCAACAGGCAGAAACCAAAGTTGGTTTATTGGCTGATTGGTTGGTTAGTTGATTTCAAATTTGTCTTTCATTTTCTGAGCAAAACATTATTTTTCCTATATATATTCCAGTAGGGAATGTTATTATCCCAATAGCAATAGAAGCTATTGGACAACTTTCTGACAATAACACCACATTTTCTAGCCCACAGGAGTTTCTGAACAGTCTAGGACCCCTAAACTGGCATGGATTACTTGGTCAAAGGAGCAGGTGTAGAGGAGTTTCCCTTTAATCCATAGCCCTTAGCTAAATTCCGTGTTTATAAGTGAGTGATCACTTCAAGAGTACAGGGCTCTGACCTATTTATTATTTTCACTGGGATAGAAACTATGGGCTCCTAGTGACATCCAATCATAATTCTTACGAGTTATTGGAGAAGCATTCAAAGATGACATTAAACTCTAACTCTACCTTTTTTTCCCCAGCATCTCCCCACCCCAACAGCCCCAGGCAACCATCATTCTGCTCTCTACTTCTGAGTTGATTTTTTTTTAGATTCTGTGTATAATTGGGATCATGCAATATTTGTTTTTCTGTACCTGAATTATTTCATTTAACATAATGTCCTCCAGATTGGTCCATGTTGTCACAAATGACAAGATTTTCTTCTTAAGGCTGAATATATTCAATTACGTATGTATATATCACATTTTCTTTATCCATTCATCTGCTGATGAACACTTAGGTTGATTCCACATCTTAGCTACTGTGAATAGTGCTGCAGTGAATATAGAAGGACAGATACCTCTTTGCCATACTGATTTCATTTCCTTGGAATATATACCCAGCAGTAGGATTATTGGATTTAACTTTTATTATTATAAAATATTACATATTACAGAACAATACATAAACCATAAATATATAATATGTATGTACATATCTATCTTTTTGATGAATACATTAATTTTAATGAAGTCCAGTTTATTAATTTTTTTCTTTTTAGTTAATGTTCCTTATGTCCTATGTCATGAGAATATTCTCTTCTGTTACCATTGAGAAGCTTTGTTATTTGACCTTTCACACTTAAGACTATGAGCCATCTGGAATGTATGTGTGTGTGCTTTGAGATAGTGGGCAAGATTCATATTTTTCCTTAAGGTTGTCCAATTAACCAGCACCATTTACTGAAAATACAATCCTTTCCTTCACCACATTGTGGTCATACTATTGTCATAAATCAAGTTTGGGTAATAAATATACATGTGGATTGTTGACTCTGTTCATTTGAACTATTCATCTCTCACACTAAAACAATATTGTCTTAATTAGTAGCTCTAAAATAAGTTTTTATGGCTAGTAGTATAAGTCCTTCACCTTTTTCTTCATAATTGTTCCAGCTTGACCTTTTCAATTTCTATCAGTTTGTCAAGTTCTTCAAAAAAAAAAAAAAAAAAACCTTAGATTTTGATTAGGATTGTATTAAATTTATAAATCAATTTGAAGAGGATTTCACATTTTCACAATATTGAAGCTTCCGGTCCATTAACATGGCATGTCTTTTCTTTAGATCTTCTTTGTTCTCTTTGCCTTAGCTGTTTAGTTTCACTATGATGTGTCCAAATTATCTTTTTATTTTTCCTCCTTGGAATTTATTTGGCTCCTTAAATCTGAGAATGTCTATATCTCATAAGTTCTGAAAAATTTTCAGCCATTATATGTCACCTGTTTCTTTTGTCCTATTCTCCCTGTGTTGCCCAGGCTGATCTCTAACTCCTGGGCTCAAGCAATCCTTCCACCTCCATTTCCCAAAGTGCTAGGATGACAGGCTTGAGCCACCATGCCTGGCCTACAGTAGATTTTGATGGCTCTGTTTCACAGTGTTGATTTTAGTCAAATGTTTAGAAACTCTAGATATTTGTTCATCTTTTAATTGTGTGTGTGTGTGTGTGTGTGTCTGTGTGTGTGTGTGTCTGTGTGTGTATACATATTTTTTTTTTCTTTGAGACAGGATCTCACTCTGTCACCCAGACTGGAGTACAGTGGCATGATAATGGCTTACTGCAGCCTCACGACCTCCCAGTCTCAAGCAATCTTCCTACCTCAGCCTCCTAAAGTAGTAAATTACAGGTGTGAGCCACTGCAGCCAGCCTTAATTGTGCATTCTTCTTGTCTCTTCTGTTTACTGAGCCTGTATATAGTAATTTTGTGGGAGGTGCTGGGTGCAGTGGTGTACCTGTAATCCCAGCTACTAAGGAGGCCAAGGTGGGAGGATCATTTGAGCTCAGGAGTTTGAGACCAACCTGGGCAACATAGTGAGATGCCATCTCTCAATAGAAAAAGGAAAAGAAGAAAATAATTTTGTGGCAAGAGTAGAATGTGTTCATTGGGCTTATACATGTGGGGGTGGGACGGATATATATTAGGAAGAAGAGGACCTGTCTTGTCTTAGATATGGCAATTCTATACCCAATTCTAGACTCCTGGGGTTAGTTACTGCCTGTGGTACTCACCGGTTTGGTGTGGAGAAAATCTCCACTACAGTTGGCTGATTAGTAGAAGTGTCAGAAGTAAGGGAAGAAGTTGAAGCAAATACTCCAGATACAGTGGCTCAATTGGCCACCACAGGTAATGGCCCAGGACCCTCTTTTCTTTGTATCAATTAACTCTGACATTAGGGTAGAGTTCTTTCTTAACCTTTCTACTTTTGTAATAGACTTACGGTGCAAGACATTTTTCTGCCAGTGTCAATCTTTTTCTGAGACTCCAATTGTATGTATGCAATTATTCGTTCTAATATATGTATCCTCTACATATCATACCCACTCTTCTGTATTTTCAACTTTTTGTCTCCCTTTCCTGCATTTTAAGCAGAATGGTCTTATTTGAATTCTTGATTTTGGTTATTGTATTTCTCATTCATTCATTTAAATTTTTGAGACAGAGTCTCATTCTGCTGTCCAGGCTGGAGGGCAATGGCACAATCTCAGCCCACTGCAAACTCTGCCTCCTGGGTTCAAGTGATTCTCCTGCCTCAGCCTTCTGAGTAGCTGGAACTACAGACATGTGTGCCACCATGCCCGGCTGATTTTTGTATTTTTAATAGAGACAGGGTTTTGCCATGTTGGCCAGGCTGATCCCAAACTCCTGACCTCAAGTAATTCACCCACCTTGGCCTCCCAAAGTTCTGAGATTACAGGTGTGAGCCACTATGCCTGGCCCATTACTGTGTTTTTCAACTGGTAATTTTTTGTTACCTTTCAAATCTGCTGTGTCACTCATTACCATTTCTAATTCCCTGTTATCATTTTTAAGAATGTCTAATGTTTCTTCAATCATAATAAGCATACTGGTTTTATAGTTCAGTGTCTGATAATTTCAGTATCTTATGTCTTTATGGGTCTGTAGTCTGTTTTTGCAGTGTGTCGTTTCTGCCAATGTTTGTTCACGCTCTTATTTCCTTCTGTTCCTGGTGGAAAACTGTATCTGAACATTGTACTTAAAAAAAATGTTTGTGTTACAGTTTGGCTCTGTGTCCCCACCCAAATCTCATCTTGAATTGTTCTCCCATAATTCCCACATGTTGTGGGAAGGACCTGGTGGGAGATAATGTGAATCATGGGGGCAGTTTCCCTCATACTGTTCTTGTGGTAGTGAAAAAGTCTCATGAGATCTGATGGTTTTATCAGGGGTTTCTGCTTTTGCATCTTCCTCATTTTCTCTTGCTGCCTCCATGTAACAAGTGCCTTTCACCTCCCGCCATGATTCTGAAGCCTCCCCAGCCATGTGGAACTGTAAGTCCAATTAAACCTCTTTTTCTTCCAAGTTCTGATTATGTCTTTATCAGCAGCATGAAAATGGACTAATATGGTTTATAAAAGCAATTTGAGGCTTAAGATGATGTTTACCCCAGGAGCAGTTTACATTCACTTCTGTCAGATGGGTAGGGTGTTACAAGTTCCAAGCTAACCTTAATCTGTGCTAAGCATCCCTGGTGATCAAAGTCAAGCTGGACTTGTTAACTTTCAATTTACCTTTATCGAGAGGGTGAAGCTCTTTGGAATTACAGACTGAAATAGTGGGAGGTTTATGTAGGCTCAACACCTGGATAAGCAGTACATGTTGGCTTTCGTTCCACTTGCCATGCAAAAAACGCAAAACTTGGTTTTCACGTGGTTTCTTTTATGTTACAAATGTCTTCAGGGCAAGAGGAATTTTAAATGCCAGCCTTATCACTCTGGATTCTTGCGTTCTTAGATTCAAGTACATGTGCAGATTTGTTACAAGGGTATATTGCGTAATGCTGAGGTTTGAGCTTCTAATGATCTCGTCACCCAGGTAGTGAACATAATATCTGATGGGTAGTTTTTCAAACCTTCCCCACTTCTTCTCTCCACCTTTTTGGAATTCCAGTGTCTATTGTTTCCATCTTTGGGTCCATGTATACCTAATGTTTAGTTCCTACTTAGAAGTGAGAACATGCCGTATTTCCTTTTCTGTTTCTGGATTAATTCACGTAGGATAATAGCCTCTAGCTGCATCCATATTGCTAGAAAGGACATGATTTCATTCTTTTTTTATGGCTGCATAGTGTTCTATGCTGTATAAGTATGACATTTCCTTTATCCAATCTCCAATCCACTGTTCATGGGCACCTGGGTTCATTCCATGTCTTCGCTGTTGTGAATAGTGCTGCAATAAACATGCAAGCACAGGTGTCCTTTTGGTAGAATAATTTGTTTTCCTTCGGATATATACTCAGTAATGGGATTGCTGGGTTGAGTAGTAATTCTGTGTTTGTTTTTTTGAGTAATTCTTTATTATCTTGTGAGTTCCTCAACACTTCTACATATATTTGTCCCCAGACACAAGGTTGTTTTGAACTACTCAGCTCACTTTTTCTGCTAAACTTGACTTTCTTACCTTATTTGAAGCAAACCAATATAAGCACAAAATTCATATCTCATATAGAACACTGGTGGGTACTATTTTTTGTCCTCATATAGAAATATTTCATATGAAGCAAGCATAATATCAACTCAAAGATGTTTTGAGCAAGAGCTTCCAAGTATGCTACATTTTCTTTTATATTTTGTAGAGTTTATATTCTGGAAGAAGGACATATAAATGTTGCTGAACAATCACAGTTTATTCCTCCCATTTTGTATTTCAATATGGATTATTACTCTATGGTTTTGCAGCAGGGTTTACTACTTTTCTATACTTAAAAAAATCTATAGTAGAGGCCCCAAAATGTACAATTGTACATTTGCTATAGAATTAAATCACTCAGCATTTATGGCATGTTCACCGTGTGCTAAGCAATATACCAGGTGCTCTCCAAGTTGCCTCCTGATGCAAGTCCCCTCAGAGGAGCAGTGAAGCAAGTCCTCTCATTCAACTCCTTTGTTTTTCTCTAGCTGGCTGAAATACTACATGCTGCTCGTATGAATTACAAAGACCTACGAGAGAAAATGAAAACTCTTACCAGACAATATAAGATTGTTTTAAATGAAGAAGAAAAAGCCTTTTTGCAGAAACGAAAAGTCCATGACGAGTATGTCTTTACCTACCATCCACATATGATTCAACATGCCATCATTAGGGGATGCTTTTCTTGCTATCAAAGTGGTGGCTCTCCACTTAAACTTACCCTAGTTTTAAAATCTATTGACAAAAATGAAAATGTTTGCTATCATTTGCTGAGTTCTGTCTCAGCAGCTCAGGCTGCCATAACAAAATACCATAGACTGGCTGGCTTAAGCAACAGAAATTGATTTTCTCACGGTTCTGGAGTCCGGAAGTCTGAGGTCACAGTACCAGCTTGGTCGAGTTCTGACTGAGGGACCTTTTCTAGCTTATAGCCAGCCAGCTGCTTTCTCTCTGTGTCTTCACATGGTGGATAGAGAGAACATCCTGTCTGGTGTCTTTCTTTTATAAGGTCCCACCCTCGTGACCTCATCCAAACCTAATTACTTCCGCAAAGCCCCCATCTTTATAATATGCTTGAACATTATCATGACACTAAGCCCCTATGTTCCTTTCTGCCATTCTAAGGCACTTTAAATTTTAACTTTTTCTGATGAAAAAAGCAATTCCTGTACCTGATTTTTAAATTCAAATATAGAAATATATAACTTAGGGAGTAAAAATTACCCAAATCTCTCCATTTCTTCATCATGTTGGGGGTTTAGGGTTTCAATACATAAATTCTGTAGGTAGAGAGGGGAGACACAGTTCAGTCCACAGCAGTTTGAAAGAGTCACTGAGATAAAATACTTTCTGTTACAGGGAGGTTCTTATCAATATCTGGGCATTTGAACAAGACTAAAAACTTCTTTGAACCTTATTTTTTTCTCTTACAAGTTGAGACAGAAAAATAACTACTTGAAACCCTATCGCTACTAAAAATATAAAAAATTAGCTGAGCATGGTGGCCCACACTTGTAATCCCAGCTATTTGGGAGGCTGAGGCAAGAGTATCTCTTAAACCTGGGAAGTGGAGATTGCAGTGAGCTGGGAGCCAAGATCGTGCCCTCCAGCCTGGGTGACAAGAGCCAGACTCCATCTCAAAAAAAAAAAAAAAAAGCCTCATCCATCCACACACTGAGAGGAGCACTTTACATCTTATTAAATTCATTCATCCATTGAGCTAGGTATTGTAATCCTCATTTTATAGCTGGTGGAAACTGAGGCTTATTGACAGGTGAAGCTACTTGTTGGCTGTTTTTATTAGATCACACCCTAATAAGAGGTAGAGCCAATATGCAAAGTTAGTCTCACTGACTCCTTCACCTTTCACAGAAGAACATGACAGAAGTGATAAGCAGGTTAGGAGAGACACACACAGTCAGAGAGATGGAGCACTATACAACTGTTCTTGTTGTTTTGTGGTTACTATTGTGGTGAATGTTCTTTCAATGGTTTGGGAATTTTCATAAGTTTTATGAAAATCCTGTGTGTAGACCAGGCGCAGTGGATCATGCCTGCAATCCAGCATTTTGGGAAGCTGACATAAACGGGTCACCTAAGAGCAGGAGTTTGAGACCAGCCTGGGCAACATAGGGAAACCCCATCTTTACAAAAGTACAAAAATTAGCTGGGAAAAAAATTTTTTTAAAGAAAATTCTATGCATAAATTTAGATGTAGCTACCACTAACAAAAAGACTTTGTTTTTAGTTTTAATAATTAGTGAATAGCGGGCCGGGCACGGTGGCGCACGCCTATAATCCCAGCACTTTGGGAGGCCGAGACGGGTGGATCACGAGGTCGAGAGATCGAGACCATCCTGGTCAACATGGTGAAACCCCGTCTCTACTAAAAATACAAAAAATTAGCTGGGCATGGTGGCGCGTGCCTGTAATCCCAGCTACTCAGGAGGCTGAGGCAGGAGAATCGCCTGAACCCAGGAGGCGGAGGTTGCAGTGAGCCGGGATCGCGCCATTGCACTCCAGCCTGGGTAACAAGAGCGAAACTCCGTCTCAAAAAAAAAAAAAAATTAGTGAATAGCTCATGATCTGAACTTTCAGAACTATTTTTGAAATTCTTATTTGTGTTTGCATATTTGATTATGTCAGCCTTCAACAAATGATAACTCTGTTTTTCATGATAGAAATCAGAAACAACTGGCATTTATTGCTCAGAAAGAATACTTTCTATCACAAAGGAGAGTAGACATTAAAAATATGGAAGAAGGACTCATCACACTCCAGGAACTTCATCGGTATATTTATTGCCTTTGAAATTTTTGATCTTTACTTTCTCTGCATTTATTTTTTAATAAATGATAGCAATAAATCTGTGTCGATTTCTAACATAGTACAGAAATATAACTAGCTCTCTCTGTTTCACAGTCTGGGAGTCATTCTCATGGAATTTTTCATTGAAAGGATAGGTTCTGAAATTTATGGGAGCCCCTGGGGCCCCAGGAATGGACCAGTTGGGGTGCAGTGACAAGAATGTTCCTGAACATTTTCACGTCACTGAGTCCCAGTGATGTTCATTCTGGGAATGGACCCAGGAATGGACCAGTTGGGGTGTAGTGACAAGAATGTTCCTGAACATTATCACATCACTGAGTCCGAGTGATGTTCATTCTGCATTCTAAGTCATTTTCATTTTAATTTTTAATTTTTCTGATTAGAAAATAATACCATACATGATTTTAAAATTGAAATATAAACTGTATAACTTAGAGAGTAAAAGTTACCCTGATCTCTCAATTTTCCCACAGAAATAATCACTGTTAACAGTTTACTATATATGCTTCCAAATATATATTTATATCTATGTATCCAAAAATTGGATTATATTCTATAACTGAATTTGTTCCACTTAAAATCATTCCTGTGAGGATGATAAAACAAATAAGATAAAATGGTAGCAGTTGGAAAAGTTGGTGAAAAATATATGGAATTCTTTGTACTATTTTTTATGCTTACCTGTTGAGACTGAAACTATTTCTATATATATAGAACTATTTCTATATATATAGAAATATATATATATATATTCTCTTTATTTATGTTTCTAGTTTATTTAACAGTGTGTCCTATTCTAAGTTTCATTTATGAATATTCCTTTGAAAAGATGTAAAGCAGCATTTTACTTATATGGCTTTCAATTTATGTCTGGGAAGCAATTAATAGGGAAAAGGTGGGGCAAGGGATAAAAATAAAGGCTTCTGTTACCTGTGTTGGAATCTTTACATTTCCATCCATCCTAGCACAAGAAAATCTTCTATCCTTAGTTGCTACTTTTCTTCAGTTCAAGAAACTATATTGGCTTTCTGAATTACATATTATATCAAACCAGAGCTCAGTCTGGGGTCCGGAGTTCCTCAACAATGTGTCAACCTTACTTTCTTATTTCTTTTCTTCATGTCCTCTGTTTACAGCAAGCCTACCGTAGGTTGTAACAGAGGCCTGAGGTGCTGTTCTTTCTCTCTCTGTATTTGCATATGATGACACCCTTTCCTTGGTAAGATTGCATCTCCATTCTGACAACCCACATTCCTCCTTCTGAGAAACATTAACCTTCAGTAACCCTTCATCAATTGCCTCTCCAGAAATCTCTTCTCTATCCTTCGCTATCCACCAACCCTTGCAGAATCAGTTTGCACTAACACAGAATTGGAATTGTCTTTCTACCGGTCTGCCACTAAAATCATTAGTTGTTTCACAAGACTTGCTTTATCTCCTAATTAGACTATAGCCTTACTGAGCATACGAATTATACATAAAGAGTCTATTGTGTATTCCAACAGCTCCCACAAATGCAAAATCCAATATGTTTTTCTTTTTAGAGCAACAAAAACAGTATATCAGCAACAAATCAAAATCCTGAGTGCTAACCTGGAAAGAGAAAGACAGAGATGGTAAAAAAAAAAAAAAAAAATTTATTGTGTTTTGTGTTATCAGCAGTATATGTATCTTAATGAACAGTGCACAGTACTTGTTACTAGAATCCAAGGAGATGGTTTTCCTAAATTAAATTGTGTGTAAATTCTCTCAGATCTAGATATATTGGTTAATTCAATTTTTTTTGACATTGAACAGAACCAGTATTTTCCATTTAAATCAAGTAGAGTCACCAAAGAGTAAAATTGCTAATATTTGTGCAATGCCTTTTGCTCATCCAGGCCTCTTTGTGAACCAGTAGTGGTTAGAGAGGAAAGTGGCATGAAGGTTACAGGCTCTGCAGATGGGCTGCTTTGGTTGTTGTCCTTATTAGCTCTGTGACCAAGGCTAAGTTATTTAATAACTTCTCTTTGCTCCCATCCCTATGAAGTGGGGAAGGATAACAGTACCTACCTTATAAAGTGGCTGTGAATGTAAATGAGGTGATACATGTAAAATACTATATTTAGATCAGTGCACCTAAAAAGCTCTTGCTTATACTTAGTTGTATTTTATTATTGTTGTTATTATTATTATTTGAGACAGTCTTGCTCTGTTGCCCAAGATGGAGTACAGTGGCACCATCTTGGCACACTGCAACCTCTGCCTCACAGGTTCAAGTGATTCTCGTGCTTCAGCCTCCAGAGTAGCTGGGACTGCATCCACCAGTTATTTTTTGTATTTTTAATAGAGATGCCCAATTATTTTTTGTATTTTTAGTAGAGATGGGGTTTTGCTATGTTGGCCAAGCTGGTCTCGAACTCCTGGCCCCAAGTGATCTGCCTGCCTTAGCCTCCCAAAGTTCTGGGATTACAGGTGTGAACCACCATGCCTGGCCAGTGTTATTATTGAATGTGCAATTAAATACTCAAATTGCACATTTTTACCATTCTTCAAATATGTAGCTTTTTCATGTTGTGGTGGAGAAAAACTTAAGAACCCAGAATTTTGAAATCTATTAGTAGCACATCAGGTAATTTAGGTAATTCTATTACTATTTCTGTCTGGGTCTCTTTTTGCACCTGCCCCAAGCCTTCCTGGTTTCTGTTCCTTACCTGAAGGAGGCAAGCTGCCAAGTGTTCTTTGTTCACTGTTCTATTGGACATGCAGATGTAACTTCTTACCCTGTAGCAACTTACAGAGACAGAAGACAGTGAATGTTTTGTCTTACTTTTTCAGGCAGTGTGTGTAGCCTGCAACACTAATAGCACAAACAATATTGTGTAGTCATAGTATGACTTGTTTTGCTTTGAATTTCCTCATGTTTTTAGTAAACCACTATGTCAGTTTAATAGTAATTCTTTTTGTTCTAATCTCTAGTGTTATAACTCAGTGGCAAATAGCTTGCTTGAGAAAACAGCATGCACGTTGGACAGCCAAGGCAAACACTGAAATAGAAGCTATTATGGAAAAAATTCAGAATGCAGAAGCTAGACGAATTGAATTACTTACCGAGGTAAGGCAACCCAAGGAACTTAGAATTAGTCCCCTACATTGCATATCAGCAATTCTCCTTCAATATTTAATTACATCCTATCTTATTAAAAAGTATTTTCCTTTCTGCTGCATTCATGTTTAGAGTGAATTATTTAATTTTCTTAGGAAGTGTATTCATTTGCCGTATATTAACTAGAGAGAATTAGCAAATAAAGTAGATATGCTTTTGAAGCATGTAACTAGAAACTTACTGAAAGTTAGTCTTTAGGTGAATTGCCTCTAAAAATATGAGCCCAGACATCATTTTTTAAGCTTTTATGTTTACCCTCTGCTCACTCACTGTCCTCTGCCCTCCCCACTCCTTGCATCATATTTTTAAAAATATCATTTGGTGAATAACTTAATTTCTGGAGGGAAAACTGTTTCAGTGGCTGCTGAGAAATTATATAAACTGAAATCAGAAGCAGGTCTCATGCAAAGAGATATTAATTTCCTGGCTATTTGAAGTGACAAATTCTCATTTTTCTCTAATTAGACCAGTTTCAGAGAAAAGGAGATCAATGAATTTGTGGCACAGATTGATAAACTTACAATAGAATTAAAAGAAGATGAGAAAGAGTTTATTAACCAAGAAAAAATGTTAATGAAAGCGATAAGCAAGTATGAGGTAAATTTTATTTTACATCTAAGAATACTTTTGGGTGACTACCTGAGGGGGAAGGGGAATACTATTTCATGCTATTCTAATCAGTTAAATGCAAAATAAATATTCTAGTATGAAAAAGGTTACAGTTTCATTCTGGACCTTTCTTCTCTTCCTGAAGAGGAAGCAAAATAAGAAATATGTTTTTGGCAAAATAATAAAAATCACACTTCAGATTATGTAGAACTACTGGCAGTGGCCTCAGAGACAGTTGGAGCTGAGCAGGAAGCCATTTGGAGCTGGCTTGACAATAGCTGGAGCAAGGGAGACTAGTAAAGTCAGTCTCAGATGTGCTCCTTAAAAAGAGGGTATCATGCTGCCTTGGAAACTGCCAAAAGCCAACCTGAGATAGAACAGGGCATGGGTGCTGGGGGAGGTAGACAGAAGTGCCAGGTCTGCAGAAACACACACACACACACACACACACACACACACACACACACACACACACACACACCTTTTCAAGGTGATATTACCCTGGAGGCAACCATTAACAGAGCAGCTGAGAATAGAGATGGTGGTAGAAGGCTTCCTGAACTGGATTAGGTTTGGAAAGGAAGAAGAGGTCTTGGCTATACCAAAGAGGGGCTTTATTTGAAGGAAACAGTCTCATACTGCGAGACGAAAACAGGGAGCTCTGAAATGTCCTAGTTTAGAGTCTTACCTGATCCATGCTGTCTTCCCCAACCTCATCCCATCCTGCAGAAACCCTCTGCAGATGACTGGCCCAAGGACAGCTAATTCTTTCTATTAATATTAGTAACCAAAAGAAAGTAGACACTTTTTCTCATACAAAAATACTAGGAGAAAAACAAATGAAAAGAGGAATAAAACTTTCCAATAAATGAAGACCACTCAGAAAAAATGGTGGCACAGAACAAATAAAAACTATAATCAGGCCAGGCTCGGTGGCTGACACCTATAATCCCAGCATTTTGGGAGGCTAAGGCAGGTGGATCACAAGGTCAGGAGTTCAAGACCAGCCTGGCCAAGATGATGAAACCCCGTCTCTACTACAAAAAAATTAGCTGGGCATGGTGGCATGTGCCAATCCCAACTATTCAGGAGCCTGAGGCAAAGAATTGCTTGAACCCAGGAGGTGAAGATTGCAGTGTGCTGAGATCCTGCCACTGCACTTCAGCCTGGGTGGCAGAGCAAGACTCTGTCTCAAAAAAAAAAAAAAGAAAAAAAAACTATGATCAAATATTCTTCTGTGAATTTAGAAAAATAGTTTAATAGCAGTACAAAGCAAAATTATCAGTATGGAAATGTAGGAATTTAGGTAACAGATGTCAGAAGGTGATGGCCAGAAAACAGGAAGAGCTAAAACAGAAACTAGCATAACTCGGAATAAACAAAGGAAAGAAAGCATGACACAAATGACTGCACTGTTAGAAGAAACGGGGCAGGGGAGAGAAGTCGGGGTGGAAAGCATTAGTTTAGGTGCCTGACATTCTTCTAAATGCTGAAAAGCATGCAAAACCTCTGTCCTATGGAGCTTACTATCTAGTGATGGGGGAATGAAAATAAATGAGATAAACAAGTAGAACATGCCATATATTGGATAGTGATAAATGGTACAGAGAAAAATCAGGTAAGTTCAGAGTATGTGGGGAATTGTAGAATCCCTCTTTCATCACCTTGGATGTCTTCTGTTAACATATCTGTTATGCCTTATTCTAAAATTGAGTCTCAAACTGGAATGCATTTGAAGATAGATGCTTCTATAGAGGTTCTTTGGCCTAAATAGTTCAGCATTTGTATTAAGTTTTATTCTGGTATCTAATCAGATTCCTAATCATAACCCATAAGAAGGAATGTGACTTTAATATTGGACTTTGCTGATGTGCTCATGTCTGCATTTTTTTCTTTAAATCATAGCCATATGTTAAATTTTCTGTTTTCTTATGGTTCTCTTTTATTGATGGGCATGCAGTAGGTGTTTCTTGGAAATGGCCAATTTTTATTAAAATATTTCTGGAAGAAAAAAAAGAAAAATCAGGTAGGGAAGTGGAACAGGGAGAGTGCACGTGATAGGGTCTGTGCTGTTGTAAATAGGGTAGTCAGAGAAGGAATCCTGAATATGAGCAAGGGTGCCCTGCAGATGTCTTCAGGAGATGGCTCCAGGCAGAGGGCATGCCAGGCAGGAAGGGCCTGAGGCAGGATCCTCCTATCTAAGGAATCACAAAGGGGTGGGGTTGCTGAATAAGAGCTGGGGAGTGCCAGGGTAGTGGGGAGTCATCTTCAGGAAGCAGATGCTGAGACGGAATTAGGAGTGCAAAGCCATATTAGGGAGAAGTATCTGTGAAAATATTGGTCAGGGAAAGCCGTCTGGCCATTATGTAGCCTGACAAACTCTCTCTGGGGAGCTCTGGAGCAAGGACTGCCTGTTTGAAGAGGACTGCCTTGGACAGAAATGACAACATCCTTGTACCACCTCCTTGCTTAGTCACTGACTGGGGACTGCCCCAAAGGAGCATGATATTGGCTAGATAGCTGAGCTGACCCTGAAGGAGCCAGCTATTGGAGGTGTCAGCTAAACACATTCCTCACAATGGTGTGGTGAGTCCACCCTCAAGAGGAGATCCAAGTGGAGCATCTGCACATCCTTATAGCCTATCATAAGTGCTTTGTCCTTTGCTCTGTCTGAGCTAGAAAGCCATTGGAGGGGTCTGAGTGGAGGCTAAAATAATCTGAGTTTCCTTTAAATATGATCACTCTAGCTTCTTTGTTGAGTAGAATTTAGGAAAGAAAAGGGTGGACACGGAAGAACAATTAGGGAGCTATGGCAATAACCCAAGTGAGAAATGAAGGTAGCTTGAACCAAAATGGTAACTGAAGAGGTGTTAAGATGTGGTCAGCATCTCAGATATTTTTGATAATTTTACCATCATACTTACTGCTAAAACAATGAGGGCAATCCCTTTGAGTCATGAACAGGATAAGGAATAAGGATCCCATTTAACTTTTTACTCAAGTTTATACAGTGCAATTAGGCAAGGTACGTAAAATAGCATAAAACTTGGCAGATGAAATAATTGGTAGATTGCAAAACTCAAGAAAATCAACTGCAAACCCACTGCAGCCAGGCCTCCAGCCTGCGCTCAGCTTCCCAGGCCGTGTGCTCACTGCAAGGTTGTGTCCACCCACACTTAATTCACACAAATGCATGGGCCAATGGCAGCCTGTGCACTATTATTATATAGCAATAACCCGATTTCCCCTTGATAATCACCATCAGTAACCTCAGGCACATTGTAATCCCATTTTGGCCTTTGATTCAGTGGCATGAGGAGCCCAAAATTGGAAGGAAGCAACTTCAGATTCTGGTTTATGAAACTGTTGTTGTGCCCCTGGTGGAACCATTTTTCTACCCAGTAGTATCTCTAAATAAACAGAACCCAAAGTCACAGGGAGGAAAAGCAAAATCATTAGGTTTAATAGTGAGAAGTCCCACTACCATTTGAGCCTCTGACCCATAAATTCTAAGGAAAACAGCCCTGAATATTAATAAGATTAGTCACTGGTTCATAATATAAGCATCCCAATGTTGGGGTGTGTTGTCTACAAGGCAGTGCTGTGACTGGCTTTTCTGTGGACCTGGCTCTGATACCAGGCCCTCCATTGTAATTCTTCTCTCAGGATGATTTTGCTCATCATCCTGATACAGCATGGACAAGCCCATGCCAAGGACCATTCACTTTTCTGGGTCCGACAGCCCTGTATCTGGCAGAATTTTATCAGAGAAGCAAAGCTGCCAGGAAAGGGGTTTATTCCAGGACTTGACCTTCTGCAACTGTGGTATGTAGTTGCACAGTCTGGTGAGGCTGTCAGCTTTATATCTGGTGCTGAGGCCTGAAGTCAGCTGGGCAGGTACTTGGTATGGAAAGACCAACAGGAAGTGAATGGAAGCAAGGACAAACTGGAATTCACAGGATGAGCGAGTGTAGACTGGAATCTACGTTGGTCTCTCTTTTCCAAGGCTTTAACTTCAGGGAGATGGGGGACCTGGAGCATAAACTGAAGCCTGTCACCACTGACCTAAATATGTCTGTGGCTCAGGAATCAGGCACTGAGAAAGGATTTGGAGGATCTGAAGACTGTGCACTTGACTGGCTGCCCCACTCCAAGAATGTGAGCCCACAGACAAAGCAACAGCTTGCTACACTGAACCTGTTAACCCACAGTCCCTTTTGGAGCATGAAACAAGAGCATGGCTTCTCATTAGGGCAGCCCTGGCAGCCTGAGCTGTGTGCAGGCAGTGGGAATGAATTAATGCATACACATACAAACTTGTATTCACAGGCTATTCGTTTTTAAAAAACGCCATCCATGATGGGCCAACATGATGAAACCCCATCTCTACTAAAAAAAAATACAGAAAATTAGCTGGGCATGGTGGCGCACACCTGTAGTTCCAGCTACTTGAGAGGCTGAGGCAGGAATCCAGGAGGCAGAGGTTGCAGTGAGCCGAAATCATGCCACTGCATGCCAGCCTGGCACCTGGTGACAGAGTGAGACTCTGTCTTGAAAAAATAAAAATGAAAACAAAAAAAAAAGTAGTATGGATAATGCATTTCTTAAATCAACCTTTTCTAAATGTTGCGGTCTGGAGAAATGTACTCCTGCTTCTGCACTGTATTTTTGAATTATGGTATTTTTCTATGCATTTTAGCTTCTCTTCATCTATTCATAAGGATGCTAATGGCAATTTGGGAGGGTACATATCAGCCAGCATGTCAGTGTATTAGTTAAGGTGCAAGAGAACTACTCTATCAAAGATATACCAAAACACAGTGAACATAAGCAAGATGTGAAAAGGGTTAACAATCTTTTTATTGGGAAGCTGGCCTTGGGTTAACTTTCTGGCTCCTTCCCCTAATAGCCTGATGAAGGTAGAATATCAGCTGTATTATCAAGGAACATTACTTGTATAACAAAGAGTCCTGATTTGTATACTGCATCTTGACTGGAAAAATAGCTCATGGTAAACTGTGGCATTGGGCTGGATTTGATGGCTCTCTTAAGTGGGAAGAGAGACCTGGAAGGTATGTCCAAGATATATTAGTTCCTACATAAACATGGGGTTTCTAAGCCAGGGAGGCTATAGCCCCACTTGTGTGAGTCTCTCTCTGTCTTGCATCTAAAGTATTGCTTTGGTGGGTTTGAAGGAAACTAGCCACTGGTCTGCCGTGTTGTCCAGACACCTCCCAATGGGGAAGCATGCCTGGCACTGGCCTGCTAAAATTTAGCATTTCCTTCCAATTATGTATGCATACGACTTGGACAAAAATATGAAAACTAAAACTAAAAGTATTTTAAGAGTAAACTGGGTCAAGTGCAGCCTAATCAAATTTTGTGAGTCTGAACATCTAGTGGAGAAGATGCTCTAAAGTGGTCATTACAGCAAGAGAGTTGTTTGTTTCTCTTTCCCAGTCCAGGCCATCGGGAAGGGATCCAAGGTTGGCAGGGTGGCTCTGCCATCCTCAGCACGAATCTAACATCTGTGTGTCACATAGTAGCCTCCATTCTCATTCTCCTCTGGCCAGGGGAGGGAGGAAGGGACCAAAGGAGCACTCAGCTGTTCCTGTTACAGGAGCAGAGCCCAGAAGTGGCACACATGACTTCTGTTCACAAACTCTTTGGTCATACTCACCTGCAAGGGAAGCCCAGAAACCACACTGTAGCCAGAAGCCATGGACTCAGCCGAAATTCAGGAGCCCTAATATTGAAGGAGAAGAGAACAAATATTAAGTGTCAGCTGGCAGTCTCTGTCTTAGTCACCATTTAAAATCGATCCTGATTTGCTAAGAAGGGTCCAACTATTATTCCATATGAAACTAAATAAAACTTGAGTTTGAATAAGCAGGCGTCTTCGTGTTTTTGCTTTGGGTACTTTTTACCCATTTATTTTACTGTTATATCCAATTACTTCTATCCTCTCCACATTTCTCACATCCAGTATGTGTTAGACGTGTTTTCTGTTTATCTGCCTCTTTTTGGTAAAATATTATCAAAGGAAATTTTCTCAGATATGTTTTTGGGCTGTATATATGGTAGTGTTCATAGATATATAGCAGAAGAGATATAAAGCAGAAAGGATCTTAAGAGAACCAATTAAATCTAATCTCCTTACTGTCAGAGTGTCAGTGAGTCAGGAAACAAATATTTATTAAAAGATTAGTATATGCCATATATCTCACTATGTACCTCAGGATAGGAGACCAAGACAGATGAAACTCAAAAAACTTATATTCTACTTTAAATTGTTGTGTGAATTATCCAAAATTATATTTCTCAACTGGTTTTATTTTCTTTAAAGGAAATATTTGTTAAGGAAATACAAATGACCAAAGAAAAAGAAGAGGAATTAGTAGTTGAATGTCTTCCACATCTTCAGGTGGCAGAAGAAGAGTATAGAGAGAAAAAAAGAAAGTTAGAAGAGCTCAGTAATATTGTTACAGGTACATATGAAGCATTTAGTAATTAAACACAGTCTCAGGTAAGGATTTCACTGTCATCTTCTAACATAAGGCAGGTCATCAATTGCAAGCCAATGGTGAAATTCACCAAACTTTTCCCATCATCTTTAGGCCTCTATTCTCTAGTTTTTGCTTCACCTACTAATTTCTCCTCCACACTGCAATATTACTGTTGCTATTGTCAAAATTTTCCTTTTCTCTTTGAAGAACTATTTAAGACTTAGTTGTTTATTATTTTCTTTCTCTCCATACTTCATAAAGGTAGAACTGACTTTTTTTTTTTGAGACGGAGTTTCACTTTTGTTACCCAGGCTGGAGTGCAATGGCGCGATCTCGGCTCACCGCAACCTCCGCCTCCTGGGTTCAGGCAATTCTCCTGCCTCAGCCTCCTGAGTAGCTGGGATTACAGGCACACGCCACCATGCCCAGCTAACTTTTCGTATTTTGAGTAGAGACGGGGTTTCACCATGTTGACCAGGATGGTCTCGATCTCTTGACCTCATGATCCACCCGCCCTGGCCTCCCAAAGTGCTAGGATTACAGGCTTGAGCCACTGCGCCTGGCCTAGAACTGACTTATTTATTTGCTACCCTGTGAAAATTTTTTTCTATTTCTTACCATGAATTTGCAAATTATATCTCTTTTCCCGCTGTGATTGTACCCATTTATTGAGTAGGTACTCCTCAGATTTTTTTCACTACTTTCCTGCTAAGGTGGAGGTATGTAAAACCTTGTCTCAGTTCTGGGGGTTAGTAGAGAATGTGAAGTATGTATGAATGTATGCATATTTTGAATTATATCACATAGTATAATCATGCATGTTAAACATAAGAATAATTATTTTCTCCACAAAAAATTGAATGTGATCATTCAACCCTGTACCCAGGGTCCAAAGTTTATATATCCAAAATCTTGAAAGAAAGAAAGAAAGAAGGAAAGAAAGGAAGAAAGAAAAAAAAGAACAAACAGATAGGGTCTCACTGTCACCCAGGCTGATTTCAAACTCCTGGGCTTAGGAGATCCTTCTGCTTTGGCCTTCCAAAGTGCTCTGCCTGGCCCAGAATCATCTTTGAGTTTTGTGTCTTGTATTGCATTTGGGGAGTAGAGGGGTCATTATCTAAGGAGTCTGCCCAGGACTTTTAAGCAGGAACAACTTCCAGAATTTGTATTTTAGATGATGAAAGAAGATATGTGGGAATCAGAAGGCCAGGACCAAAAGTTACAGAAATAACTAGAATGGGAACAAAAATTGTCTACTGGTTAGCAAAGATGAATATTTAAAATTGCCTGTGTCAAAATCGGACATTCATATGGAATCCCAATATGTTCAAATGTAAAATAAATATTCAAAAGCGAATAGTGATTATTGCCAAAGAGGGTGGATTTTTAAAAATGTAAGAATGTTATAATAATAATACATGGGTAATTGGTCTGGTTCCCACTCCTCAGTTGATTTTCCACTTTCTTGTCAGGTTTTCTTGGCTTCCTACCACTTTTACCCAGACAGACAATACATTTTTCTCTTATTCCCAATTTTCTTTCTTTTTTTGAAAGAATCTCTCTCTGTCACCTAGGCTGGAGTGCAGTGGCACAATGTTGGCTCACTACAACCTCTGCCTCCTGGGTTCAAGTGATACTCCTGCCTCAGTCTCCTGAGTAGCTGGGATAACAGGCACATCACCACACCTGGCTAATTTTTAGATTTTTAGTAAAGACGAGGTTTCACCACATTGGCCAGGCTGGTCTTGAACTCCTGACCTTGTGATCCGCCCACCTTGACCTCCCAAAGGGCTGGGATTACAGGCGTGAGCCACCGTGCCCAGTCTATTCCCAATTTTCTACTTCCCCAACCATTCTTCCTATCCCTTTGTATACTAGGTAGAGGAGATAAGAAACACTAGGAGTATAAAAGTAAGCAATATATTGCAAGTACTAAATCTCTTAATATAAAAAAAGAAAATGCTTAAGAAAGTAAAGAGGAGAAGACAGGAGAAAAGAAGTAAAGGGAACATGAGAGCAGGAAGGTGACCTGCCAGCAGCTACATTTACAGAGAATGGCATGCATGGGGTTGATACATATAAAGCTTTTAGTTAAGTCTGATGGGTAAAACACATGCATATATCTTTGTTTCCTCATAAAACTCCCAAATATGTATATAAAGATTGTTTTTAAAAAAGATACAAATTCATAAGTACCAAGACACTGGCAGAGATAAGACATTTGCTGTCTGCTGATTTATTATTTATTATCTGATAATAAATATCAAGAAATTTTGGGAAGGTGTAATTGGATAGCGGCAGAAAGAGAAATATAAATACCAAGAGCCTGCCAAAAAGGGCACCATGAAGCCAGAAAGTTCTTTTCCCTGAAGCTATAAAGTTATAGGCAGTGGCATCCCCTGAAACTGTGACAGCTAAGATGAGTCACAAGGCTAAAGGTTGATTGAAAGTCTTTATAAAGAGCAATTAGGGCTCCAGGTCAAATCCCATCCTTGTACAGCTAGCTGAGTGACTCCTCCTCAATGCTGGCAAAGAAACTGGACCAGATGGCTTCAGACTGCAAGGCATTAGATATGGCTGAGAGTGGAAGACAGGTACTGTACTAAGACCCCCCTTGAGCTCAGCTTGATGAATGTTGTCAGCCAATGGTGGTGTGAACTCCTTCATAATCCCTTACCCCAACCTGAGGAAGGAGACTATTGGATTCTTCCTCTAAGGAAACTGAACAGTTCAGAGGAAAGCCCCACAACACCACCAACATTCAATGGTCCCCTCAGATGGCTGGTTCCTTCCTGACCACTGTATATTGAAGCTTACCCAGGACTATTAAATGGGATCAGACAAAGATCTGAAGCACCCAGTGTGAAAGAGAAACTGAAGTGGACAGAATAAGAGAACTTGGTGGAAACAGAGAAAATGCAAAGAGCATAAGCATGCTTTTAAAGAGTATATTCTTAGAGAAATATATCGCATTTATGAAAAAAGAACGTGATGCTTGAAAGAACAGCTCTCAGAAATTAAAAGTATAATGTTAAAATTCAATAGGAAAATTACAAGAAATGTTAAAATCTGTAAAAATAGAGCATCAACAACAACAAAAACAGATGAGAAAAAGGAAAGAAAGGTAAGAAAATTAAAGAACTATTCTGAGATGTCAAATATCTACCTAACAAGGAGACCAGAAAAAAAAATGAGTGAATAATTCTTACATTATTATAATGATCTAAACAGTTAAAATTTACTTAAACAAAAACTATAACTTTATAGAAAGGTTAGGGAGGAAATGCAGAGGGTGTGGGTGGGGGATGGGGGAATGGGAGTAAGCATGCTAAATTGTCCTCTACTATATGACAAAGTAAATAGAAAATGCCTGACAAAGATAAATCAAGATATAGCCATATATTCATGTTTTTAAAGAAAGAATAAAATTATCAAAGAAATAATGCAAAAATATTTCTTATAACTAGAGAATATAAGTTTCCTTTTTTTTTTTTTTTTTTTTTTTTTTTTTGAGACGGAGTTTCGCTCTTGTTGCCCAGGCTGGAGTGCAATGGCACGATCTCGGCTTACCGTAACCTCCGCCTCCTGGGTTCAGGCAATTCTCCTGCCTCAGCCTCCTGAGTAGCTGGGATTACAGGCATGCGCCACTATGCCCAGCTAATTTTTTGTATTTTTAGTAGAGACGGGGTTTCACCACGTTGACCAGGATGGTCTCGATCTCTCGACCTTGTGATCCACCCGCCTCGGCCTCCCAAAGTGCTGGGATTACAGGCTTGAGCCACCGCGCCCGGCCAAGTTTCCATTTTTAAATGTCCAAGCAAATCCCCAAAACAATATTTAAAAGAAGAGACTAAGCCATATCATTGGGGAATTTCAGAAGGAAAAATAGAGAAGATCCTAAAAGCTCCTAGAGAGAAAAATTAGATCTCACACAAAATATTAGAAATCAGAATCATTTCGAACTTCTTAACAGCATTATAGTAGAAGTTATAAGACAATAGCTTCAAAATCTGAGAGAGAATAATTTCTAACATTAGATACCCAGCTAAACTATCAAATCAAGTATATAGAGACATATTGAGATACTATGCAAGATCTCAAAACATTTATCCCAGTTACTCTTTCTCCTGAAGCTGTGTAGAATTTGCTTCAACAAATGGAATGAATCAAGAAAAAGAGTATAAGAAATTCAGGAAACAAGAAATCCAGCATAAGAATAATGCAAAGGGTTCTGGTTGAATAAAAACTTAAGAAAAATGCAAAAGGAAGTCCCAAGAGGTGAGCTGCAAAGCAAGCACAAGGAAAGAGAAGATCCAAGAAGGAATATCTCAGAGGAGGGTTCTGAGGGAGAGGGAAGAAATGGAACTGATAGATTTGTGCATATGTTTGACTATATGGGAAATAATATTTAGAACGTTTTACAATTCCATTGTAGATTTGAGTATGAATTAATTATATGTACATGGAACACTGAGCAAATTTTTTTTAATAAGGTGATTTTTAACTCCAGGCAAAGACAAATTATACTAAAAAGGAAATATAATCATATTATACCATTTGGATCATCAGGGAATAATTCTTATTGCCATAATGATCAAAATAGAATTTATTTAAACAAAAACTATAACTTTATAGGAAGGTCAGGGAGGAAATGTAGAGGTTGTGGCTGTAGGAGGAGGTGGAAATGGGACTAATTAAATGGAAAATGCCTGAAAATGATAAATCAAAAAATAGGCATATTTGTATACTATTAAAGAATATTGAGCTAAGTGGAAGAATAAACAACTAACAAGAGTTAAAAATGCTTGATTTTGAGGAGTCACACAGGAGTAAACATAGCATTGTGGAGCGAGCGCCTGACAGCTGGTTTTTGTTATAAACCTTGTGAGAGAATTTGACTTTTAAAACTAGGTGCTTCTTTCTTTGATTAATATTTTGTTAACTAAATTTTTGAGGTAGTTATTTTTCTTTCTTTTTTTTTAAATAGCACAAAGACAGGAAGAGGATTTACTGAACAATCACATTTTTCTGTTTACAAGGGACTTTTCAAGATACGTTACCAACACGGTAAAGGATCAATGCATTAATTTTTTTTTTTAATTAGAATAGTGGTATATACAGATGGTAATATTTACCTGGCATTGAAGTTTTCATGAAATCCACATTTGTTAAACTTATATCTTCCATCTCAATGTTTAAAAATCTTTGTTACAATACATACATATGCATATGTATACACATGCACACATATACATATACTTATGAACATGTGTGTATATATGTATACTTATGTGCATATGTATATAGGGAAAGAGGGAGAGAGACTAGAACCAATAACATATAATTGTGGAAGCAGTCATTGAGTGGACCTCGGTTTTCTTAAGTTAGAAACTTGATTCTGGTTTTTAAGGGTGCATGAAGAAAGATTGCAGTGAGGGGAATGGATTAATTAGTGGCAGGTAAAGAGGTGTTTAGTGCCTTTTAAAAATTTATAATCAATAGTTGGTGATAAGCATATACATGTGGAGTTGGTTAATTAAAAATGGAAACATTCTTTGAGATGCATTGATATCAAAATGTAATTTTTTTTTTTTGAGATGGAATCTCGCTTTGTTGCCCAGGCTAGAGTGCACTCGCACAATCTTGGCTCAATGCAACCTCGGCTTCCCGAGTTCAAGCGATTTCTGGCTACTTTTTGTATTTTTTAGTAGAGACGGAGTTTTACCATGTTGGCCAGTCTGGTCTCAAACTCCTGACCTCAAGTGATGGGCCTGCCTCGGCCTCGCACAGTGCTGGGATTACAGGTGTCAGCCACCGTGCTAAGCCTCAAAATGTAAATGTAACTTTTAATATGTTATAAAATGTGAAGGAATATAGAGGAAAATATGAAAGAGAAAATTACAAGTATAGTATATATGCAGTTTTATTTTCTTAGTAAGATGCTGCTGGTGGCCAGGCACAGTGGCTCACGCCTGTAATCCTAGCACTTTGGTCAGCCCCGCCTGACCAATTCTACTAAAAATACAAAGATTAGCCAGGTGTGGTGGTGTGTGCCTGTAATCTCAGCTACTTGGAAGGCTGAGGCAGGATATTTGCTTGAACTCTGGGAGGCAGAGGTTGCAGTGAGCCGAGATCATGCCACTGTACTCTAGCCTGGGCAACAGAGCGAGACTCTGTCTCAAACAAAACAAAACAAAACAAAAGATGCTGCTGGTGATGATTATACAATGAATAAATATAATGCAATATATAATAGTCTAACAACAGAGAACCGAACAGAGAATTTAGTAGAGAAAACATGAGAGAATTCTGAAAATTTCATAAAGTAATCTTCTTTCTTTAAGAATCTTTAAGTTCTTTAAAAGCCTTAATAGGCTGGGCGCAATGGCTCCTGCCTGTAATCCCAGCACTTTAGGAGGCGAGGCAGGCGGATCACCTAAGGTCAGGAGTTTGAGAGCAGCCTGGCTAACATGGTGAAACCCCATCTCTACTAAAAATACAAAAATTAGCCAGGTGTGGTTGTGGGCACCTGTAATCCCAGCTACTCAAGAGGTTGCAACAGGAGAATCGCTTGAACCCAGGAGGTGGAGAATGCAGTGAGCTATTACACCATTGCACTCCAGCCTGGAGAACAAAGAGTAAAACTCCATCTCAAAACAAAAACAAAAACACCTCAATAAATTTCCCTTTCTCTATTTTGCCAGACAGTTGTTCATCTATCAAAGTACAGTCATCCCTTATGTCTATGGGGGATTTGTTGCAAGACTAGCATATCTATCAAAATCGACAGATGCTGAAGCCCCTTGTATAGCATGGTGCAGTATTTGCATATAACCTACCCAAATTATCCAAAATACTTTAAATTATTTCTAGATTACCGATAATACCTAATAAAATGTAAATGCTATGTAAGTAGTCATACTGTATTGTTTTTATTTGTATTGTTTATTGTCATTATTTTTCTTTTGTGAATATTTTCCATCCATGTTTATAAATCCATCAATGCAGAACCCACAGATACAGAGGGCTGGCTGTATGTTTTATTTTGTGAAACTGTCTCAATGTCTGGATTTCTTAACTTGAAGTCCACAGACCCCCTTCCTAGAGTCCATGAATAAATGCAGAGTTGATAGGTTTTTCTAAGGAAAAATATCTGTTCTCTGCTCGATGCTTCAGGAATTAATTTAGAATCCAGCTTCAATGTGATCTAGGCAATATAATACCCTAGTGCCTTGCACTTTGAACTCAGAAATAATTTGGAGTTTTCTGTTTGAACAGGAGGACCTAAAAGAAGAATTAAAACAATTACGAGATCAAGAAAGCAAAAAAATCAAAAATCATTTTGAAACTCTAAAGAACTTAGAAAGTAGAATCTATATAAATGATGAAAAAGCAGACCTCCTATTCCTGGAAAATAAAAAATTAAAAGAAGTAAGTTTAAGAGCACCACACTTTGCATGGTGGCTTCGATTAATTGACTAGACCTGTAATAGTTACAAGAGAAAATAATAGCTCTTGAAAAATTTTTAATGGAGCATAAAGTACCAGAAAAGTGCCCAGATTGCAAGTGTACAGCTCCATGAACACACTTGTGTAACCAGCACCCAGATAAAGAAACAAAGCATTATCAGTATCCAGATATCCTCTATGCTCCCTCTAGTCACTAACTAGCCCCACTAAGGGTACCAACATGCTAACATCATAGACTAGTTTTCCCTGGTTTGGAATATTATAGGTATAGAACAATACAGTGTAGATTATTTTGCTCAACATTATGTTTATGAGGTTCAACCTTATTGTTGAGTATAGTTTGTTACTCTTAGTTCTGTGTAGTATTCCATTGTATGACTACTATTACAATGTATTTATATACTGTATTGTTGATGGGTGTTGAGAGTTTCTAATTTTTGACTATTACAAATAGTATTGCTGTGAACATTCTAGTTCACGTTTTTTGGTGAACATACATATTTCTGTTGAGTATACCTCTCAAGTGGAATTGCAGAGCCATAGAGATGCATAACTCCCACTTTAGTACATACTACCTGTTTCCCAAAGAAGTTACACCAATTGCCACTCCCACCAGCAATGCATGAGAACACACACTCTCACAAAACTGCCTTTTTCAATTTAAACACTCTGATGGTGTGTAGTGGCGCCCCACTAATTTGTGTTTTCCTGATCACTGTTGAAGCACCTATCCTGTTCTTGGCCAGTTGGACATCCTCTTTTTGTGAAGTGACTGTTCAGGTCTTCTGCCCATTTTTTTAAAGTAGGTTGTCTAGTTCATACTGATTGTAGCTCTTTTTATAGCAGAGGAATTTGTTCATCCAACTCCTAAAATGAAAGTCTTATTTATACTTAAAAGTTATTTGTTTTAACATTTTAAAATGCTATATTTAATCATTAGATATTTATGAGAACTGATTTTTAATGCCGAGAACTATTGCATTCAAAGCATATTGTTAAAGTGCATGGAGTCCTGTATTTTATATACTATGACAAAAGCAGTAACAACAAAACTTTACATAATATTATCTAGTTTGAAAGACCTGGATTAGAGTCTGTTATTCACTAGTAACTCTGTGTGACTTTGGGCAGATCACTGAACTTGTAAGCTTCATTTTTTCCTCTTAAAATGGGAATAACTGCCACTCACAGATTTAATGTGACTTCTTTATAAACTGAAAATGCAAAAGAATTATAATTTTTAAAATCCTTTTTTGCAGCCATCCATAATGACCTCATGGTCCAGATCTGTTGTCAATGTACTCCAAGTGTTTTGCACAATGCCTGTAATGTTAGAGGGATTCAGTCTCATTTGACATTTAAGTCTCACCATAACCTTAAAAACTGGATAATACAGTATGTCCCATTTATAGATATGTAAATTGAGAGGTTTTTTTTTTTTTGAAGTTTTAATAGCCAGAAAAAAATCAATGACTAGTCCAATGGCATGAAGAAAATCCCATCACCTCGCTGGATAATTTTTTTCATCTGTTAAATGGCAATAGTTATCTCACCACTCTCATGTGTTTTTTTATAAACTAAAATAACATAATAGATACTAATGCACTTTGAAAAGGTAATTGTGCTCCAAAGAGCCTGGATACATACCATCGTTGATAACCCCACACACACATTGCATCTTCATTCTTCAAGACCTTGAAACAAACTGGTTTGTTCCACTAGACTGCTTTCCTATCAGGATATAGATTATTTCTTAAAAGATTTAGAATATGCGGTGGCTCAAGCCTGTAATCCCAGCACTTTGGGAGGCCGAGGCGGGTGGATCACAAGGTCGAGAGATCGAGACCATCCTGGTCAACATGGTGAAACCCCGTCTCTACTAAAAATACAAAAAAATTAGCTGGGCATGGTGGCACGTGCCTGTAATCCCAGCTACTCAGGAGGCTGAGGCAGGAGAATTGCCTGAGCCCAGGAGGCGGAGGTTGCGGTGAGCCGAGATCGCACCATTGCACTCCAGCCTGGGTAACAAGAGCGAAACTCCGTCTCAAAAAAAAAAAAAAAAAAAAAAGAATATGTATTGCTATTTTGGCATTGGGTGAGCAGATGGATGTGTACATGAAAGACTGATTCCAAAAGTCCTGTTTTGTTTTTTTTTTTTAATTCAGTGTCAATTTGCTAGTCACCAAATGACCCTGCGCTGTTTTCTTACTCACCACTCAGTTTTGCTGATTGCATCCCTTTACTCTAAACATGCACTGAGTCCCAAGCACTGAGTAAGACACGGTGAATGCAGAGGTATGTAAGATACTGCCCCAGCCCTTTGGAAGCTCATGGTCTAGCTGAAGAGATGCACAGATAAACAGATCATTACAATTCAGTATGTTAAGTACGGCAATCTGAACAAGATACATTCAGTGCCCCAGAGCAAGGGCACCTGCCACACCAGGTGAGGAGCTCAAAGGAGAACTCTCACTGGTTATCATTAGCGTACAGGCAGGATTTACACTTGGGAGATGGATAAGTCTCTTCAGGGACAGTGTGTTGAGTGAGTAGATCAGGGGCTGTGAACAGAACCCTGGACAAAAACAACTTTGAAGGAGTGAGCTGTGGAAGAGGAGATGAAGAGGGAGACTAAAAGAAGATAGAGAGTTTGGGAGAAGCACAAGAGTCCAGCTGAACTAGGCAAGTCTGCAGCCCTATGTTCAAAGAAGGGCAAGAATGAGGCCTTGGACTTAGCTCAAGGTGACTTTTAATTTTGTTTATTATAATACCAGAAAACAAGCTATGAAAAGACCGATACAAGAGTAAAGATACATGAGTCAACCCTATATGCTTAAAACAGTCTATGTAACAGTCCCATGTCTACCTCATCTATTAGCACTGAACACAATTTCTGCGAACTCTGAAAGCCCATACTTTCAGAGTTCCTGGGACTTTAGCGTTTCTGAGCACTGGGCAGTCAGAACAGAAAGCCATGACTTTAATACTCAAAGTTACCTGTCACTACTGCCACCACTGTCACCAACCCAGTGAACATCTGACTTGCGTGAGTAATTCATGCAGTCTCCTGACTCAATAATCTCTCTGAGGCCTTACGCTGAACTCCAGTCTGGCAGCATTACTGCTTTGTGATGTCTACCGCACACACATTTTGCATCAGGAATATTTTTGTAGTGGACATGATGCATTAGGATAGAACACCCTCTAATTTCCTTTTGTGGAAAATTATACTCAGAATGCCATGTTTATTTAAATGCGGAAGTGAAATGCTTAATAGGAAGGATAATTGTTTATCTCCTTCCCCAGGATGGAAGCCTGACCAAGGTATGTTTTATTCACCACTGTTACCCCTTTACCTAGAACAGTGGGTGGCACAGAGGAGGAATTTATACATGTTTGCTGAATGACTACATGATAATTTATTTATAGTAACTAAACTGCTAAAAGCAATCACATGCTTTTAATTTTCAGTACATTTTATACCTGAAGAATAACATAGAGAAATACAGAGAAGGACAAGAAGCCCTCATGCACACCTCAGGTGACTTGTCTCAGCAACTGATAGCTCAGGAGGGTAAGTAATGTGTGGGTGCTTGTATTAGTCAGGGTTCTTTAGAGGGACAGAACTAGTACAATATATGTATATGTGAAAGGGAGTTTAAGGAGAATTGACTCACATGATCACAAGGTAAAGTCCCATGATAAGTGATCTGCAGGTTGAGAAACAAGGAAGCCGTTGGAGGATCAGTCCAAGTCCCAAAGCCTCACAAGTAGGGAAGCTGACAGTGCAGCCTTCAGTCTGCGGCCAAAGGCCCAAGAGCCCCTGACAAACCACTGATGTAAGTCCAAGAGTCCAAAATCTGAAGAACTTGAAGTCTGATGTTTGAGGGCAGGAAGCATCCAGTATGGGAGAAAGAAGGCTGGAAGACTCAGCCAGTCTAGCTGTGCTGGCAGCTGATTAAATAGTTCCTACCCAGATCGAGGGTGGGTCTGCCTCTCCAATCCACTGACTCAAATGTGAATCTCCTCTGGCAACACCCTCATAGACATACCCAGGAACAGTACTTTGCATGCTTCAATCCAATCAAGTTGACAATATTAACCATTACAGTGCTCTTTACACATAAAATGTATACTTCATTTAAATCCATTTTACTGATTTGCCTACAAAAAATGCATCCATTTTTAGATTAGTGAATTTTGACAAATGTGCATGCCACTGTAACCACTACCACCACAAGCAAGATATAGAACATTTTCATCACTACAAAATTTTCTCTGTATTCTTTTGCCATTGATCACCTAACCCATCTCCAGTTCCTGGAAACCATTGATCTGCTTTCTGTCATTAATAATTAGATATAAATGAAATGATAGCATATGCACACTTTACACCTGACTTCTTTCACTCAGCAGATTGTTTTAAGATTCATCCAAGTTGTTGCATGTATCATTAGTTCGCTCCTTTTTATAGCTGTACCATAGAATCCTATTATATAGATACCATATTTTGTTTATTCATTCACCAGTCAAAAGACATTTAGATTATTTTCGGTTTGGGATTATTATGAATGAAGCTGCTGTGAACGTTTGTTTACAAATGTTTTATGGCCATGTTTTCATTTCTCTTGGGTAAATACCTATAATGGAATTGCTGAGTTATATAGCAGTTAGTGTATGATTAACTTTATAAGAAATATATATGGTTAGTATATGATTAGCTTTATAAGAAACCACCAGATAAGTTTGCCAAAGTGATTGTTAAGTGTCTCATTCCACTAACAGTGGAGAAGAGTTCTCATTGCTCTACATTCTCATCAGCACTTAAAATTGTCAAAACGCTTTAAATTGTTAATATTCTGGTTGTTTTAATAGGTATGTAATGGCATTTCATTGTGATTGTAACTTGTACTTCTCTAATGACTAATGTTGTTGAGTATCCTTTTTCATGTGTTTCTTGACCATGTGAATATTATCTTTTGTGACAAATACTGCAAACATAGTAGCTGAAGACAAATTATTTACTTTGCTTACTAATTGGCCATGTGATCAGAGCTCGTTGAAAACAACTTAATGTCTGCTCCACATGGCATCAGCCAGGGCAACTTGAAGACTGAGGGTAATTCAGCAGTTGGGAACTGAAATCATCTGAAGACTCACTCATTCCTGTGTCTGAAGTTGATGCTGGCTCTCAACTGGATCTCGAGGGAGACCATTGGCCAGAACACCTCCTCATGGCCTCTCCATGTAGCTGTTTGGCCTGGTTCCAAAAGCATCCCAAGAGAATAAAGTAGAAGTTCATGGTGTCTTATGACCTAGCCTCAGAAGTCGGAGTGTTACTTCCACAACATGCTAATGGTTGAGGCAGTCACTCAGGTGCAAGGGGAGGGGTCATAGCCACCACTGCTCAGTGAAAGGAGTGTCAGCATCATGTCGGGGGAAAAAAAAGAATGGAATATATTGTGGGGCTATCTGTGGAAAATACAATCTGTCACATGTCTGTCCACATCTTTATCTCATTGCTTTGTGTTGTTTGTTTTCTTATTATCGAGTTAAAATCCTTATGTTTTCTGGAAATGAATCCTTTTTCAGTCTGAAGCTTGACTTTTCATTTTATTCATGGTGTCTCAGAAAGAGTAAACAGTTTTCATTTGAATAAAACCCATCTATCTATTTTGTCTTTTAAGATTAAGACTTCTTGTTTCCTGCCTAAAACATTTTTGCCTACACCAAGCTCTTGAAGATTTTCATACACACACACACACACACACACACACACACACACACACACACACACACATATATAAAAGTTTTAGTGTTTATGTCTAGATCTCTAATTCATTTTAAGTGAACTTTTTCATATGATGTGAGGCAAGGCTTGAACTTTGTTGTTTTGTCTTACGTACATTCAGTTGTTCCAGTACTATTTTTGAAAAGACCATGCTTTTGCCATTGTATTACTCTAGCAGCTTTTCAAAAATCAATTTTATGGGTTTGTTCCTTTAATCTAAATGCCAAACTTTATACCAATACCACACTGTCTTAATTGTTATAGCTTCATATGCAGTCTGGACCATCAGGTAATAGAATTCTTCACCTGTATGCTTCTCTTTTAAAATTATTTTCACTATTCTAAATTCTTTGATTTCCATATACATTTTAGAATCACTTAATCTACACACACACACACACACACACACACACACACACACACACACACCTGCTGGAATTTTAACTGTGTTTGTGTTGAATCTATAAGTCAATGGTTAGAAGAATTGACATGTTAGTAAAATTGTGTTATGTAATCCAAGAATATAGTATATATATCTCCATTTATTTAGGTCTTTATCTCAAAAAATTTGTGCAGCTTTAGTGTAGTAAAGATGTCCCAGGACTACTCTTAGGCTTAATGATTAGCTAAAATGATTCACAGGAATTGAAAATTGTTATACTTATGGTTACCGTTAGTATAGAAAGATACAGAGTAAAATCAGCAAAGGAAAAAGGCACAGAGGGCAAAGTCTGGAGGAAACCTGGTACAACCTTCTCAAAGATGCCCTTAATTTCCCCAGCAACATTGTGTGGCCCCACATGCAGTGTTGCTAGCCAGGGAGGCTCACCCAGGATTGGGTGTTCAAGGTACTTATGGGCAGGGGGAATGGTCAGTCCTGTAGGCACAGAGTACCTGGGTGACCAGCCTCAGCTGCTCAGGCATCCACTGAGATGCTCAACTTGTATTATTCCTTTATGCTGTTCATGTGGTAAGTTGCACTGATTGAATTTGAATTCTCTCATTCTTAGCATAAAGCCCACTTGTCCAAAAGCTGTTACTGTTCTTGTCTATTGCTAGATTCAATTTGTTAATCTTTTTGTGTCTGTGTTAAGACCACCCTGCTGTGCTTGTGCTGTGGTCTGGAAAGTGCCCCCCAGTGGAAAGCTGGGTGATTGCAGGACTCACCTCCTTTGTTTCTCTTCCAGGTGTCAAGGTCCTGGGCTGCCGAAAACATTTCTTTCATATGTTTTGCTTCTTTCCTCTACTTGTTTGTAGTGGGAGGGCAAGTCCAATCCAGTTATTCTGTCATTTTGGAAGTAGACATTTTTAGTTAAAAATAATTTTTGAAAAAACACGACTTTTATTAAAATGTTCAAATTGTATCAGTAACCGTTGTATTTTTTAAATCTTTATTTTAGCACAATATGAGAATTTGTGGGCTGAATTTCAGGCCACAGTTAAGGTGAGTTTTGTGTGTGTGTGTGTTGCCTCCATATAAATAACCATATTTCTAAAAATGTTTACCTACCTAATAAGTGTGTGTGCTTTTGTGTCTGTGTGCACCTGCATGCACACACATCAAGGTGGAAAGTTACACTAGCTCTGTCACTGCCCTGCAGTCCTAGATGCTACTATGACCACCACATCCTAAAATGTGTCCTTTTTAAAATTTTTTAACCAAATGTCACTATGAAATCTTAATTTTTTTGGGAAACTGTCTTCCTACCATTCAGTTAAGGTGGGAAAGACTTTATTTGCATGACCTAAATGAACACATTTTGTTTAGGACAAAGCTGTCAGTTCTAGACTCCTTACCTCTTCATTTTTACCAGTGCAACATCTGCACCCTCTTCACTTCAGTGTCAGATAGGCTGGGATTAAAATCCTGGCTCTGCCACTTTCTCAGTATTTAAAGTTTACATATAATCCTCATTTAAGTGTTAAAACACTGGATTAGGAAAGTGTTAAAATGCCTTTTTCACATGGAGCTGCTGAAGCTCAGAGAGTTTACATAACTTGCCTAAGACCAAATAGTTTATAAACGTATAGGAATTTACAACCCACATGCTGCCTGATTCCAAAGTTCCTTCTGTTCGGGTGAATCTCCTCTGCAGCTCTGTGCTTCTCTGAGGGGGAAAACAGCTTTTTATGCTGCCATCACCATGGCTACCATTATCCACTTAAAAATTTGAGTTCAGTGAGCATTCCATTATTCTTCTCATTTGATAATCCATTTTCCCAAGATCATTTACAGAACTTTGTGAATTGGCTGTGTATACATGCACTTATTTTTTATGATGGATACCAATTTTGCATATATAATATTTTCATTCTGGGCACTATCCACTTAGACAGAATGTGTACTTATTTATGTTGTTACAGTTTATGTTGACATACCCTAAAATGCTGTTTCTTTAGATCTTAGTGGACAATGGTGAAGAGACCTTGCAAGACATAAAAAATCTAACAGACAAACTGTGTGAAAGAGATGAAAACATGGAGCATATCAGTACATGGCTACAAGAAAGTCTTGAAGAGCTGCGTTCTCTTGGGAAGGAGGAATCACCAATGAACCTTCTTAGTAAGCAACAGCTTAGAACTTTGGTAACATGGGACTTCCTACTATTTTACTATGTAGCTGGTAATATCAAAAGAAGAAAAAAGTGTCACCTAAGTAACTTAGTTATCCCCAGTTATGCCACAAACATTCAGTTGAACATTGATACTTACTTGTGGGTTGAATATACTGTTGCAGTGTTAGCCAATTCTGCCTTTCACCTAAGAGAATTTTCTTTTTTCTTTTTCTTTTTCTTTCTTTTTTTTTTTTTTTAAGACAGCGTCTCGCTCTGTGGCCAGGCTGGAGTGCAGTGGCGCAATCTCAGCTCACTGTAACCTCTTGACAGATACTTTCATCTGTCAACCTCTGATTCAAGTGATCCTCCTGCCTCAGCCTCCCAAGTAGCTGGGATTACAGGCACTCGCCACCACGCCCAGCTAATCTTTGTAGTTTTTACCATGTTAGCCAGGATGGTCTCGATCTCCTGACCTCATGATCCGCTCACCTCAGCCTCCCACAGTGCTGGGATTACAGGCATGAGCCACTGAGCCCACCCTAAGAGAATTTTCTAGACAACTGAATCTTCTTTATAATTTTAATAAAATGTTTATCTTAAACATTTTTCAGAGAGGTCTTTTTAAACTTGTTTATACATTTTTTGGTCTTCTTAAACAGAAGTTGAATATAATTTTACCTTTTCTTCCTGAGCTGAGTTTAGCATTAAAAACAGCAACTGTTACCTTCTTGGAAAAATCTAGTGATGGCTTTGGGGGCTTCTGAGATGTTTACACCTCATGTCTAACATGCTTGCCTCATGAGCAAGCAGTCCAGTCTCTCCAGAGACATATCAGCTTCATCCTCAATTCCCTCAATATTGTCATGTTAGACACAACCACAAAACTCTGTCCAGATTAGGGCTGTGGTGAGAAATGAAGGTGAGTCCTTGCACAGGTGACTGCCCAGAGGTCCCAATGGTAGAATCATCTGGGAAGATAGGATGGTGGGGGTAGATGGAGCTGGGGAGAAGGAAAGAGAACAGAGTCTAGAAGAGAGATGAAATGATAAAACAAAAATGCTATCATCTGGCAAGTGTACAGATCTATTCATGGTTATTAAGACTTAATTTTAAAGAGCATAATCACTAGATAAGCACTTTTAAAAGTAGGATATAGAAATAAAATGGGATAAAAGTAAAAAGATCTGGGTGCAGTGACTCATGCTTATAATCCTGGCACTTTTGGAGGCTGAGGCAGGAGGATTGCTTGAGTCCAGGTATTTGAGACCAGCTTGGGCAACATAATGAGACCCTGTTTCTACAAAAATAATTTTAAAGTTAGCTGGGTATGGTAGCGCCTCTGTCTCAGCTACTTGGAAGGCTGAGGTGAGAGAATTGCTTGAGCCTGGGAGGTCGAGGCAGCAGTGAGCCATTATTGTGCCACTGCACTCCAGCCTGGATGTAAGGGGTAAGGCAGCTCTTTGGGGCCTCTTTGATAAGGGCATAAACCCCAAGACCTAACCACCTCCCGAAGGCCACAACTTCTAATACACATGGGAAATTAGGTTTCAACATAGGAATTTTGGAGGAGACACAAACGCTCAGACCATAGCAGCCATCATTACTTCCTTTTATTTTTTTGAGACAGGGTCTTTCACCCTGCTGCCCAGGCTGGACTGCAACCTCTGCTTCCCGGGCTCAAGCAGTCCTTTCACCTCAGCCTCCCAAGTAGCAGGGACTACAGGCACATGCCAGTGTGCCTGGCTACTTTGTGTGTGTGTGTGTGTGTGTGTGTGTGTGTGTGTGTGTGTGTATTTTTTTTTTTTGTAGAGACAAGGTTATGCCATGTTGCCCAGGCTGGTCTTGAGCTCTTCAGCTCAAGCAATCCTCCCACCTCAGCCTCTCAAAGTGCTGGGATTATAGGTGTGAGCCACCATACCTTCAAAGTGCTGCTTCTGACATGTTATTTAACCTCCACTCCTCAGTCTCCGCAGTTGTGAAATATCACTGATAGCTAATAGTAGTTATAAAACACTAGACCCATATTAGGCATTCATCAGATGCCTGAAACCTACCACCCTCCTGGGAGGTAATGGTAAAGTTTGTCTCCTTGAATTCTTTGGCCATCTCTGAGCCACCTGTAATCTCCCCGCGTTTGAAGGTTCCCTGTTGAGTTGGTTCCACCACAGGACTTCTGGAGAAGCCCTTACATCAGATCAGCACTCCTCTACTGTCCTCTTCTGGCCATGATAGTCACTGCAGCCTGCAGGTCCTGCCCTCTCCAGGATCACTGCACTAGCTTCATCAGTACTGGGTGCTTTGGAGCCTGACACAGGAGCAGATGTTACAAAGTTGAGTAAGACCCAGGCCCTCAACCTTAAAGTGCATACTCTGTGAGAAACAGACAATTGAAGAGCTGATTAGAATACACTGGATTCCTTCTAGAAAGTGGCTATCAAAGGGTAAAGCTCTAAGTCTTATTGCATGTTGGAGTACTCAGGAATATCTTCCCAAAGGAGAAGCACAGACTTGAGCTGGTCAAGAACTGCAAGTAGCAAGGCTGAGTGGAGATCTGCTGGGGGAACCAACCAGCAAGAGTGTGGGATGGGCTTATAAGAACGTTAAAGGGCAGACTTCAACCTGAAAACTAATTACTAAAAACTTCCTTTTTGCCTTAGTTTTCTTTCTTGTAAATCAAAGGTATGTAAGTTAATTCTTAGTGAATATATAAGCTAAACAGTAACTTATTTTTAAAGTATTAAAAAGAATTTTGTGTTGAAATTACAAAAGTCCTGGCCGGGCGCGGTGGCTCAAGCCTGTAATCCCAGCACTTTGGGAGGCCGAGGTGGGTGGATCACGAGGTCAAGAGATCGAGACCATCCTGGTCAACATGGTGAAACCCCGTCTCTACTAATGGTGCAAAAAATTAGCTGAGCATGGTGGCGCGTGCCTGTAATCCCAGCTACTCAGGAGGCTGAGGCAGGAGAATTGCCTGAACCCAGGAGGCAAAGGTTGCGGTGAGCCGAGATCGCGCCATTGCACTCCAGCCTGGGTAACAAGGGCGAAACTCCGTCTCAAAAAAAAAAAAAAAAAAAGAAAGAAAGAAAGAAATTACAAAAGTCCTGGAGTATTATGTCATATACTATAACTTAGGTTATATAAATAATTTGTGTATTAACCAAGTATCTTGATAGGTGGTCTATAGAAGATATTTTTAGGATGAGGTACTTTTAAAGAAACATTAAAAAATCAATTTATGTAACTGTCAAGGCTATCTCTCTGTTATTGTGATGAAGGGCTTGATACAATCATCTACATTTTGATTAATTCTAGAAAAGCACCCCTTATAATTAAAGCAGAATCAAAAATTTCAGTGAGAAGAAAATCTTTTGCCTTGTACTTGTCAAAAGGTCTCTTTGAAATTTGGAAGATCAGTGGTTCTCAAATGTTAGAATCACCTGGAGGGTTTAAAAAAAAAAAAATCCCTGTGCTTGGCCAGGTGCAGTGGCTCATGCCTGCACTTTGGGAGGCTAATTTTAGTGGATCACTTGAGGTCAGGAGTTCAAGACCAGCCTGACCAACATGGTGAAACCCTGCCTCACTAAAAATTAGTTGGGTGTCATGGCAGGCACCTGTAATCCCAGCTGCTTGAGCAGCTGAGGAATGAGAAATCACTTGAACCCAGGAGGCAGAGGTTGCCGTGAGCCGAGATTGCACCACTGCACTGCAGTCTGGCAACAGAGCAAGACCCTGTCTCAAAAAGAAAGAAAGAAAGAGAGAGAGAGAGAGAGAGAGAGAGAGAGAGAGAGAGAGAGAAAAGTCCCTGTGCTCAAACAGCACCACAGACCAATTCAACATGAATCTCTGGGAGTGGGGCCCAGGCATGATTTTTAAAAATCTCTCCAGGTGGCTTCAATGTGCAGTAGTCTTGCAAACCAAGGATTTTAGACAAATATATAACAAGGTTATTAAATGTATCTGCTAACCCAAATTAATCAAGAAAACACAGATTTAGTAGCCCTGGTCTGCAAATCCAAAATGCTCCAAAACCCAAAGCTTTTTGAGTGCCAACATGACACTCAAAGAAAATACTCTGGAGAATTTAAGATTTCAAATTTTAGGATTGGGGATACTGAACTGTAAGTATAATGTAAATATTCCAAAATCTGAAAAAAAAGAAAAAAAAAAAAAAGAAAAAAACCCCTGAATTTTGCAACACTTCTGGTCTCAAGCTTTTTTCGATATGGGATATTCAACCTGTATTTTGACTTTTAAATTACCTATTCAGGACTGGTTAGTTAAATAATTACTATACACTGTAGTGACGAGAATTGTGATGCGCTTCAAGGGCCTAAGTCAAAACTGAACTAAGACAAGGGTTGTTTTTAGCGTTTTTAATGACCATGTTTTAACAAATTATTTAGTAACATTAGCAACTACGGTGACTATGAATTGTTCCAGTCTTATTCTTACCAAAGCAAATTAAAAATGCAGATCTATATTAAGTATTCTGGAAATTATTTGCCCTTGGGGCCTTGTAGTTTTAATTTCTTCTTTTGTATACATAATTTTCTGCCAGAACAGGACATCTGAAAACATGATTGTTAAAACGGCTCCAAGTGGACCAGAAGATATAGTCCTAGTAATCAGACACATGACACCCTCCCTACTCCACCTGATTATACAATTACCCAGTTGAGGATACTTTGGGCAATGCAGAATTTTAATAAACACTAATAACCACACAAAGCTATATGTAATACAAACAGAATTTTTACATTTATTTTTTATTCCTACAGAAAAGAAGAAACACAGTGGTACCAAAAGAGTTCATTTCCCAGTGATTAAATGTACTGAGAAAAATATATTAACAAAAAATAACTAACAAAATAACAAAAGGATACAACTGCTGTGAATTCAAAAGACAAACACAACTACAGGAAAAGTGAGTGCACTTACTTTCACATTTTGCACCTATTAATAGAAGACTTAAATGTTTAAAATTTAATTTGTATAATCGCCACCAAGTAGCAGAACCAGTAAATAAACTTCTAAACAATAAAAATGGGTAAACATGGTTAGATTGTTAGGTTAAGTGCTAAAAATTTTATTTTGCTTCCATAGTTGCATCCATGAGTCTCTTAAAGCCTTCAGAGCATAAACATCACAGAACACCTATCACAAAAAACAAACCATCCACAGGAAAACCATTTTTATATTGTGTATCTTCTGTATTTCATTAAATCTAATAAGCCATCAGTTCTAAGATGCATTCTAATTCAGAGATGTCACGTGAAATAAAAAGTATCTCTAGATCAATAAAACATGGTATGTATATACGCCCCAGATGTAAGAGGAAACTACTAGTTTGAATTACTTCCATATTATTGTGCCAAAAAACAATTAGTGTCAAAACACTGAAATTTTATGTAGTCAAGCTTTTTATTATTGTTTTCCTTACAGGAACAATAATCCAAACAAGTCTTGAACCAAACTATCTATAAACAGAAAACCTGTTATATAAATTATTATCTATTTGCAATATATCAAAATACTGTATTGGTGAAAATAAATAGATAACAAAAAACAAAATACATCATTTCTGTGTTTGCTATCAGACCCCACAAGTATGTTTGTCTTTACAATTCATTATAGGTAAAAAACAAACGGAAACACAAGAGGTGCACACAATTATGCCACTGCTAAGGATTGCAGATTACATATGTAAGGTTTTCTTAATAAAATAGGAACACATTGCTAGGTACACAGAAACAGGATTTTGCTCTAAAGAACAGCTGAATTGTTGAGAGAAGCAACTGCTTCCTACTGGGCTTCTCATGTAGCAGATATTACCCTGTGTAACAGAGTATCAAGGGGTTTTGCATTTTCCCAATCTAACCATAAACTAAACAAAAACAACCCAAACATTAAGATAAACTGACAATCTTGTGCCCATATATAACAGAACAGTTCTCATACATTGTTAAGATTTATTTACTTTTTTATTAGGAACACTTCTTAAGTTTTTGGCATTTCACATGTCTACATTCAGTGTCCATTGGCTCCTTCTGAGAGTATCCGTGAAGGTTCGGTAAATTTTGCAGTGAACAAGTAAAAAAGGGCTGGTGTAGGTACCAAAGCCAAAAGGGGCAAATCCTGCTCAAGTTTATCCACTCTAGAAATGGAGATTATTCCATAGGCATGAAGTAACCAGTGGCTGAAGAGAACAATAAGTCTTTTCTTTCTGACCAGAAGATCATAGCAGTTCTATACAATTTTATAAAAGAAAGAAAAGAGAAATACAGATTATCAGGCTAAATCAGCTGAATAATTTAATATATTTTAATGTAAAATATATTATTTATAATCTCAGAATCATAAAATGTTTGAGCTGAAAAAGACTTAGGAAACTACTCAGTCTAGCCACCACACTTTACAGATGAGGAAAGCGAGATTTCTAAGGTCATATAAGCACTCAGTAGCAGCACCAAGACAAGAGCCATGTCATCATGTCTCTTATGTCCTTGTCTATGCCAGCATTCACGCCTGGAAACACTATAGCTCCTTCTGAAAGAAAGATATGACCTAGAAGGGAAACTCCCCTTTACGCGCTTTCTTCCTGCCCTGATCCACTGTCACTGTGGATCTACAGGTGGGAAATAGGAGGTACAGAAACTCAACCTCCTTAACCTATAACATTCCTGGAGCCTGCTGCATGAATAGTAAGGAAGCAGAAATGACACATGAACAGTCTGATTTTCTTTTAATCCTTAATACCACTGCATAATATGCAGAAATTAGAACAAAATTAATACAAAATTAATATCTAAATGTGTTAATAAAAACATTAAAATGTAACTTGCAATAGATTACTTACCAACTTTCTCTTATCATTAAACAGCTCATCAACTCAACCAGTTCTAAACTGTCTTTCCTACTTTAGGTCCCCATTTCATGCTAATTGAAGTATGTGAACATTTTATATAGGAGATTCACAGGGGCAGAGAAACAAGTTTCAAGCTAATTTAACAGTGTATAGCTAATTCTTAACTATGGATAAGAAATAAAAATTCAAAAACCTCGTTTTATTCAAATAGCCAATTATTTCCTCCCTCAAATCTTTCCCTAGAGTTGATAAAAGTGTCAAAACTAATTTGCCTATCTTCTTTAATTAATTATATTTCAATGCTGGTTAAAGATTACAAAGGAAAAATGAGGATCATCTACAGTTGAAAACAACTGAATAATCACTATAAATATATTCTGTCTAGTTCCTTCACTATTATCCTACCCAAAAGTCACTATGATTTCTAGATGTTTTCCCCCACTCAGTCTTTGACTAAGGTAATAGAAAAAGTGGCATCAACAGTAACCACTCCAAAATAGTTTACAACTTATTTTCTCTGGGTTGAGTTTTTTATGTTATAAATTATGAGAAAGCACATATCAACTGTGATGGGTAGTTTAAGACAGTTCATAGGCCCTACATTAGCAAGTTTGGGTGGAAGACTACTAAGACACTTTATGCTTTTGCTTTCTTTAGAGTTTAGCCTAATAGTTCTTACATCAGAGCCATTAACGTATTTAAAAGTAATCATTTAAATGTAATATATTAACAGTAGAGAGCTGCATAATTATTTTGGAAAGAAAATGTCAGATTGCATATGAACACATAATGTACAAGAATGCCCATTTTGATTTAAAGTTTAAAGAATACATTTTTCCCTAGGCATAGAGTCAAATACACTATTACTTCTCATTTGTTGTTCATGTTTTTGACTAAGAGCTTAGTTCCTTAAAAATAGAATATGTGAAAATATAGATGTGATGACATGATGTTCTACCCAGTGACTTATAAATGTGTCAAAAGAGACTTTTCTGGCCAAAAATATTCTAAAAATAAAGACATATACAATTTTTTAAAAGGAGTTCTTTATAATAGTGGCCTTCCACTGAAATATTAAGAAGTTAGAGGTACAAAATGGATACCCTGATAAAGGAACAGTATCAGAATAATGTGGCTAGTAATGTTAGCTCCAAATCCCCCAAACATTATGGGGTAAAAGTAAACATCCATAATCAAGAAAATAAAATCTGGGATAAAACATAAAAGGATATGGAATGCACAATTATTGATGACTGTTAATGTTGCCATTGTAAAATAAAGTTTAAAATTAGTTCTAAATATAAAACATTTTTATGGTTTTTCTCAAAATAGTGTTAATAAGTTTCAACATTTCAATAATTTTATGTTTATGTAAAATGACTTTTCTCCTTCATGCTGGATAGTTGAGCCTGACTACTTCACTATTTTGCTAATTTCCCATGGAACTATAGAGTCCAGTACACAGCTTTTTATAAAGTTAACAAGCTAAAGGCTACCAAGTGGCATCATCAATCAGCCAAAGATCACTAAAACAATTAGCTGTACTATATCATATCATATGGACCATTCTGATATTCAATTGTTAAATTTATATTTTAAAAAGTATTTAACAAAGGAAAAAACGACTTCCTACCTCTATTTCAGAAGCAGACATGTACACAGCCAGAGTAACCAAAGATAACACTAATATAATATACGGGAAGGCATAATCTGAAAGATAAGCATTGGTATTATGTTGGAAATTGAACAAATTATCTGAATAAACCATCAAATAAATTCAAATAGTAATTCTCCTTAGAGTCAAATCCTTTCTCAACCAGTTCTGAGAGACTTATGACCTAAGATTCTGAGGCAGGGGCCAGCAAGTTTTTTCTGGAAAGGGAAAGACAGTAAATAGTTTTAGCCCTGAAGGCCCTATAGCCTCTGTCTTGATTACCCAGCTCTGCAGTTATAGTGGGGAAGCAGCCATAGACAGATCATACATACATGAATAGGCATCAATAAAAACTTCTGGACAGTAAAATATAAATTTCATGCATTTTTCACATCAAGAATTATAAGTCTTTTGATTTTTTTAATGGTAAAAAAATGTAAAAACTATCCAAGGCCAGCTTTGAAGAACCTTGCCTTAGGCATCCAGTGAATGTAAATAATTAGCTTCTTCCCTCTGCTTTCCAGAATAGTACCAGTTAAGTACTAAACTTAGGAGAATTCAAAAAATGGTCAAATAATTTTCTGTGTTTTGTGGTCCACGTGGGGAACCTCGGTTGAGAAAGGTTATCTATAAGAGTAACTAAGCTTTAATTAATCTTTAGAAAAGGTCATTTATCAATAAACCTCAAAGTATAAAAAGAGATCATTCAGTATTCTTAATATCAAAATTCCAGAAATCTCTACAGTACAGTAATAAAACTTTAAGCAATTTTTTTCCTTTAAAACACCACTTTTCTCTTAAAATGTTTCAAATATATAACACACTATAATAAATGGACAAATTGAGAAAAAACTTTGAATTATTGCTCATACAATTATTTGTAAATGACTTCAGTTTATAAAATACTAATCATTCTACATTGCAGTAGAATCCATTTGGAACAATTTCAAATATTAATTCAGGATGCAGCAGCCAGAAACTGAGTTATCCAAACAGGTTACATAGGCCTTATTCCAGCTTACTAAAGAACTGAATGACTTATCTGACATTTAGAACCTTTTAATAGACAGTGATTAGGTCTTCAATCAACTGTGCCAAGAAAACAAAAACAAAAACCTCTATTTAACCTGTAAGTAGCTAAACAATGTTGCTAATGATACAAGTTTAAGACCTGATAGTAAAAAGCCACATAAAGTAAAAAGGAAAAAAAGAGGAAATTTCTAACTAAGCCCAAATTTGTGGGGAGTAGAGGGAGGTACTGGGCCAGAGATAGGATTTGGAGTGGTTCTTAATTTCTACTGCACAAAAAAATTTGAAATTTTGTGCAACCAGGTCTGGAGTAGGGTCTAGGGATATGCATTTTAGTTCCCCTGCTGGTTCAGCTGCAGATCACACTTAGAAGCTGGCTTCCATAATACTTCCAAGCAGGTAAAATTTGTCACTGACATATTCCTAATTATGCCCCATCTTTCTCCCTAGATCCCCAGTCTTTCACTATCGTGAGCTATTATAAGCTTCCTAGT